TCTCAAAGACTCTGTCCACAGTGTTTTGTATTTCATTATAACTCTTATCATCTTCTGCCTTGAATTAAAGACTCTGTGTCCATATTGATATATTTTGAATTATTAACCTAGTAAGAGTTACAAAGGGTCATTTTAAAAAATTGGAAAATCCAGACAAAAAATAATCTCCATTCCCACACCTTTTAATATGTCCATTTAATAACCCTCCAGTCATATTCTCTGTAAATATTTTGAATAAAAAGGATCCCACACCATGGATCATTTTGGTGATTTTTTTTTCACCTAAAATGCAATATGTGGTGATTCTATAGCTTTCTCCCAACTTCATCTCTGTGTCTCCAAAGTGACCAGTTTACTCTTTGCCACAGAATAGAGCACTCAGTAAATAATCTTAGCTATAGAATTCTATAATTCTGGGATGACAGTGTGTTGACTGGTTTTCCAGAGAAATCTATGTTCAATTTGCTACTTGGAGTGCCCATAGGTTGCTGGCTGACCACCCTGGCCGGAAAGACAAGGTATGCTGTAGGGACAGCAACCTTACCTAGGGCTTTTCCAGAGGCCAGAGAGGTACTGCCAAGGCTCTGGGCTCAAGAGGTCCAAGGAGGGAGAGAGCAAGAAAAAACAACTTGTTAATGAGAGCCCTGAGTGGCTCCCAAATCAGGAGCAGAGGGAATGTTGTGAGGGGAGTTGGCTGCCCTCTTTGGAGTCAGAAATGTCGTTGCTCAACTCCTTGGATTTTCCATCACAGCTGAGCAGGGAAAGGGTCAGTCTGGGCATGTATCCTCTGAGCAGGTCCTTTTAAAGCCTGTTGGCTGGGCTGATACTCTCTCCAGAGCCAAGGAAACAGTGCCTGGGTAGAGTTAACCTCTTCACTTCCAACAAATTCTCCCGGAGGTAGGTGAGCCTGGAAGCCTAAGCTGGAAGGCAGGGCTACTCAGGGCAAGAGGCCTAAGGAGCCGTGAACTCTGGCTGGAGAAACCTTCTCTCTGGCCTTGTTAAATCCAACAGGCATAATTGCATCCTGCTGACCTTAATTCCCCTGGCAAGTTTAATTGGTCCTGGCATTGCCCCACTTCCTGTTCTGCCTCTGTAGAGGCAAAGAGCGTTTCTGCACAGCTGGTGCAGAGTAGGGGAAGCCCCTTCTTTCTCAAGGGTGAGCAGAGGCTCTGGCAGCTTCTAGGTGAGTGGAGGGTTTCCCTCTGCCCCACCCCTGTGCCTCCACCGGAGCTGAGAAGCTTGGGGACTCCCAGGGAGCAGCTGACTGGAGCAGGCAATCCTGTGGATCTGGAACCAGGCCAGCCTGTCTTCCCAGTGGGAGGCTCTGGAGGGGAGCTGGCAGTAACAGCTGAGCCCTCTCTACCTGGGGTGTCTACAACATTACTGAGCCCCCCACAGTGCTGCGGGTACTGTGCGAAGCACTCTATATGTGTGTGCTGGCTAAGTGCTCCCTGCTGCCCTGTGAGAGGGAAACAATAGGTCAGATGGTTATGAGCAGAGCCTTGGCTTAGTTAGATGGGTCCAATCTTAACTCTGAGACTGCCCTGTGTCTCAGTTTTCTTGTTATGTCTGAAATGGGAATAAAATGGCTGGAATTTACACACCACTTGCTATGAACCCATGCACTATTCTAAATGCTTGACATGCCCCCTGCTGTGAGGCAGGCGCTGTTCTTAGAGATAAAGAAACAAGAAGAGGCACTGGCAGCAATTGGTGGTGGAGTTTCACCAATCCATCTCCTAATCATTACGTGGTAGAGCTGCAAGGATTGGAGGAAGAACAATCGTGAAGTTGTTTATCCCAGTGCCTGGTCCATTTCAGTAAAAGTTTATTAAGCATTAGTGGCCAACACTGCCCTGTAAGTTGTCCCAGTCTGGATATGGTCTCATCAGGAGGTGGCTCTGCCTTTGAAACTGGGCAGCTTAAAGCCACTCACTAGCTGTGTGACTAACCCTCTGAGCATCAGTTTCCACACCTCTAAAATGGTCCAAGGCTTGTGCCTAGAGTCCCTTGTGAGGATCCAGTGAGCTGGATCTTTGGGATAGTCCTGGCCCTTCATGTGTATTCATGCAATAAAGTGATTGGTATTGCTAACCACAGTAATAACATGGTGATGTCTGCAAGGGCCATTGTGGTGAAGTAATCCCCCAAGCTCCAATCAGAGCCTTGTGAGTTAGTCACTTACTCATCAAACACTGATTGGCAAGGACACTGTGCTGGGGACACATATGAGTGTGATACAGCCCCTGCCATAAGGGGCTCCCCAGATGGTGTCAGCCAATGGTGAGATCAGCCTGGGGCCCTGTTGGAGGCTGGGGATTGAAGGAGCAAACTTTCTTTCTTCTTTTTTTGTTGTCGTTGCAGTTTTTGGCCGGGGCTGGGTTTGAACCCACCACCTCCGGTATATGGGGCCTGCGCCCTACTCTTTGAGCCACAGGCGCCGCCTGGGAGCAAACTTTCAAACTAAACTAGAATGTGATGTGGAGACAACCAAATGGAGGGCCAGGAGGTCCCAATAATAGGCATGGACACGAAGCATTTCAGCCTTTTGAGAGCTGCAAGATCCTTGAAGGGCTTACCCAGCAGGGAGAAAGGGGTGAAACGCAGGCTGGGAGATTTTAGAGCAGAAAGAGGACTTTGGACTTTGAAGGACACCCCAGGTCCAACTTCTTCCTTGTTTGGTGACTTTGGGCAAGCTACTCTCCATCCTTATGCAGAAAATGGGATGACCATGCCCCACAGAGTGATTACCAAGGTAGATAAAGCTAACAGCCAGGCACTCACCAAATGGGAGCTCCCTTCCTTAGGAGAACCTGGGTTCAGATCTCAGTTTAACCCCTTACAAACTGTATGGCTTTGAGTAAGTTCCTTAACCTCCCCAGCCTGTTCATGAAGGTCATGTGAGCGGACCTACATAAAAGCACGTAGATGGAGGCTGGGTTTGGCCCTACACAGGCTTCCTGTAAGAGGCAACTTGTCAACTGGACCTTGAAGAAGAGAAACAAGGGGCAGGTCTGGACTGGGGGAGAGCAAAGGTAGTCAGGATTGGGGAAGGAGCCCAACTCTGGTTTTTGCTAGCTTGTACATGTACTGCAAACTCTCTATATTAGTTCACTTTTAAAAAATCACTCATTGACTAGTAATCCATTCATGTAGTTCATGGTTCAAATAGAAAAGTAAGAGGGTATGCAGTGATGACTTCCTCTCACCCCGGTCCCTAGTTTCGTATTTATTCTGCCAGAGAAGCTTTTTTTTTTTTTTGAGACAGAGTCTCATTATATTGCCCTTGGTAGAGTGTTGAGGCATCACAGCTCACAGCAACCTCCAACTCTTGGGCTTAAGCGATTCTCTTGCCTCAGCCTCCCAAGTAGCTGGGACTATAGTCACCCAGCTATTTTTGGTTGTAGTTTTCATTGTTGTTTGGTAGGCCTGGGCTGGGTTTGAACCTGCCAGTTCCGGTGTATGTGGCTGACGTCCTAGCCTCTGAGCTATAGGCACTGAGCCAGCCTGCCAGAGAAGTTCTTATGTGTGTAAAGTAAAAGATCTATATTATTTCCCCCTCTTTTGCACAAATGATAGCATGCTTTATCTCCACCTTGCTTTTTTTTTTTTTTTTTTTTGGTAGTTTTAGGCCAGGGCCAGGTTTGAACCCACCACCTCCAGTATAGGGGGCCAGCACCCTACGTCTTTGAGCCATAGGTGCTGCCCATCCTTGCTTTTTTTTTTTTACACTTCGGAGGTTGCTTCATATCGGTTCATTAATAGCTTCCTCCATCTTTTTTTTACGGCTACCTATTTCCCCATTGCATGAGACCACTTGTTATTGCATTCTGCCTCCTTTCTCTCATCTGAGGGCAGTGAGAGGAGTGGAAGCCATGGGACTGGAATGGATAGTTTGCTGCATCGGGACCTGAACCCAGATGCCAACTCCATAGCTTCTTCCAGGCACTTGGCTCTGACTAGTTCTTAGCAGCCACCCACCCCAGGAAGGCTCTGGGCACAGCTCCTGGGGATGGAAAGCCTCCCGGATCATCTCTCTTTCTCCCCCATCTTATCTCAGCTTAAACATCTCAGGCTGGAGTGCCTCTCGGGTCATGACTGTAGTGGTGGGTCCTCAAAAAAGTTCTCTACCAGCCCCTTTCTCTGGGTGGGCTTGGGAAAGAACTGGTCAGCTCAGGGGAAGGGTGCAGTGCACTTTCCATCTCCTACAAACACTTGGGGCAGCCTCCATCTGTCCAGGAGCCCAAGAAGAAGACAGCAACAACAACAAAAAGTTTTCAGGCCTATGGACTTGTTGAGCCAGTGCCCCTGAGACCATTTGTTATCCAAAGACAATCCAAGTAGGTCTGCATACCCTGGGGGACAAAACTGGGCACTGGGGTCGGGTGGTGACTCTAACCAGGTTCTGGAGGGCCCAGGAGATGTGACATGCAGGTGGACAAAGCCAGGGCCCGGCCTGGGCACAATCCTGGCCTTCAACCCTAGCTCAGAGCCTTCTCCTTCCAGGCCCCATGTCTGATCCCATCAACATCAGGAATACTCGGTAAGACCTGGGAAAAAGACTGCTCCCCCGGGCTCCGGGGCCCCCTCCCTTTGCTCTTCCTGCTTATTCCAACACCATTCTCCCCCCCCCCCCAGTTGGGCCGTGGGAAGAATGCTGTGTCCTCTGAACAGGGGCCAAGAGTGACAGGTGGTGGCAGTCTGAGCTACATGGCCCCTGGTGTAAGAGATCCTCTCCTCCGTCCCCGCCTCCACTGCCTGCACCCCTGCCTCCACCTCTGCCCACCCTGCGGCCCAGTCCCTTAACAACTGCCCCAGGACTGCTCCTGAGCAGCCGCTGAGACAGACGGCCACCAGGTTGCCCCTCTGCTCCAGGTACCTCTCTCTTCTTAGGCAGCTGGGCTGGGCCTCTTTTCTCTCCACAGCCAGGCAGGAGGAGGACTCCGACAGCCTGACACACCCTATTCTTTCTGCAGCTAGAGAGACTTGAGTTAGACAAGCAGAAGCTCACACCTCTCTACCTCATGGCAACAGAAAACGGAGCAGCGGAGCTGGGAATCCAGAGCCCGACAGCAGGTGCCAAGCTGGGGCAGGAGGTGAAGGGAGGAGCTTAGAAAGGGGTGTTTGAATCTGGGCTTGGGCTGGATCTTCAGTGAGAATTCCGTGCTTGAGGCTTCTTTGCACAGTGCTTGGGAACCCAGAAATCAGAAAGCTGTCTGGCTCAGGTTGGACTGGGTCTGGGGCCTGTATGAAGCTCTCCCTGGAGAGACTAGGAAGGTGGGAAGCCTCTATGGGTGGCTGTTGGGGGTGTACCTAAACACTCTGGGATGGTTGGGAGCCACCAAGGCCCACCCAAAGAGCTAGGAGCCTCATATACAGAGCTTCCAAGGCCCCAGTAGCCCATCTTTAGGGCCCATCAAGTGGCCCCAGAGGTTCAGTGGGAAAAGCATTTGCAAGCTGTTGCCTGGGTAGGGACCTGGGTCTAGAGCTGGTCTCTGCCCAGCCTGGCTGGGGAGTGTGGGGGAATATACCTGGACCCTGATGGGTGACTCACCTCCTTTGCAGATAAGACACCTAAAGGTGCCTCAGGCGAAGGACCATTGGCTGCAGATAAAGTCCCTGAACTTCCAGATCCAAAGAAAGTCCTTGGTCCCCCAGATCCAAAGAAAGATCCTGGCCCCCCAGACCAAAAGAAAGATCCTGATCCATTCAACCTGAAGAAAGATGCCAAAGCTCCTGCCCCAGAGGGATGGCCAGAGAACCATCCCTTAACTAGCAGCCAGGGCCCCAAGGGAGAGGGTGACAAGGGTGGGGGTCCTGCGGAGGGCAGTGCTGGGCAGCCAGCAGCCCTGCCCCAGCAGACTGCAACAGCCGAGGCCAGTGACAAGAAGCCCAGTGCTGAGCAGGCAACATCAGGCAACAAGGACCCTGGAGAGCCCAAGGTGGGCAAGAAGGCCACAGGGGGTCAAGCAGCAGCCAGGAGGGGCTCACCTGCCTTTCTGCATAGCCCCAGTTGCCCTGCCATTATCTGGAGGTAAATGCCCCCTGCTTGGGAGTTTGGCGGGGTGGCGCTATCCCCAGGGGTTATGCTTATTGCCCCTGTCTTAGGCATCATCACATTTAGTGCTGAGGAGTGTCATTCTGATGTTCAGCTCCCTCTGTCCTGGGCATTCGCTCTCCTGCAGAAACCAGGAGTTTGCGTTCATTGTGGCCTGGAATGTCAGCAGGAGAGGTTCTCAAAGACTGCCTAAGCTGAGCTTCTCTTCTCCAGGCATCTGGGGTCCAGAGTTCCCCTTACTCCGTGGACTTGAGTCTAGCCAAGGGCAGGACTGAGACATCAGGCAGAAAGGATAACCCTTCTTCTTAATATAATTATTGGTATAATATGAAAAGATGACTAATAACCAGATTGATGGATCATTACTAATACTTTCCTAACCATAATACAGCACAAGCCTTATGAAGCAATCAGTTATGTTTACCTGGATGCTAATGAAGTCATTAATGATATATTGGAAGTCACAATAATAACACTTCCTGTATCAACTTGATAATTACATATTAATATCAGTTATATCACCACAGCTTTTGTGAATCAAGAGCTACATAACTCCCTAGTTGTATCCACATCATGATTAATATATTAATAATTCTATTTACAGCTATTAATGACCTATTAGTGTGTTGATACTCAAGATAATGACCACAGCCATTAATATCCCTTGGTTTTGCACAGAGTGAATTTGGATATATTACCTTGTGTGTTTGGGGCTGGGTTATATTCGCTCTGGATTGCAGATGAGGCTCTGGAGATTGAGACTTGCTCAGGCCTTGAGGCTCTGGCTGCTGAGGGCTTCACCTTTGTGTTCTCACTATCTAGCTCTGAGAAGCTGTTGGCCAAGAAGCCCCTGAATGAAGCATCAGAGCTCACCTTTGAAGGGGTGCCCGAGACCCCGAGGCCCATGGATCCCAGCCCAGCCAAGGTAGAAGGAGGAAAGAACACCCCGGCAGGGAGCCAGAAGGAAGCAGGAGAGAAAGCCCCAGGCCAGGCTGGCCAGGCTAAGGTGCAAGGGGACACCTCGAGGGGGATCGAGTTCCAGGCTGTTCCCTCAGAGAGACCGGAGGTGGAGCAGGCCCTCTGTCTCACAGCCAGGGAGGAGGACTGCTTCCAGATTTTGGGTAGGCCAGGGGCAGGTGGGGTCTGGGGATGCCCTGAGACCAGGGGGAAGGAGGGGGGGTTTCAATTCCCAGTCTCCCTGTTCAGAGGGCTGAACTGCCCTGAGCCATGGCCAACCTAGGCCCATTCAACTAAGTGTCATCCAATTCCAAAAAACCCTCCCTTTTAAATTGCTGTTTAGTAATTTGGTATTTATTTATTTATTTAAACTGAGGTCTTGGTATATTGTCCAGGATGGGCTCAGGTGATCCTCCTGCCTCAGCCTCCAGAGGAGCTAGGACTACAGCAACCTGCTACCATACATGGCTGTTTTTCAACCTTATTTTAAAAAGATTTATATTTTTTGTTTAGTACTCCCATTTGGTAGAAAGGGAAAAGAAGCCTCAGAAGCGAAGTGCAACCTAATAGACAGTGAAGACAGGATTCTATTGTCAGGACAGCTAGGCTCCAGAGTCTGATTTTGTTTTTCTTCTACTTTGGCTAAAATGGGGTAAAAGAAAAATTGGTCAGATTATTGGAGCAACATGAACTGACTGGATGGAGAAATTTGGAGTCCACCTGTAGAAGGGCTCTAGGCCAGAGTTTAGTGCTTAAACTACATGGAGGTGGAGGGGCATGGGAGCCATAGAGGGTTGATGAGCTGAGAAGCACAGGTGTCCAGTGTGGGAGCAGTGACCAAGGAAGCTGGCTGGGCATGTGAGACTAGGCAGGACTGTGGACTGGTCTTCACTGATGATCAGACAAGGGGCCGGTGGCTTATGCCTCAGACAGCAGAGAGCCTTGAGCATGAGTGAGCTTGGCCACCAGGTGAATAGAGAAAGGGCATGGGCAGGGGTGGGGTGAGATGGGGTCAGGAGAGCCCAGAGTGTCCCTACACCGCCCCTCCAGGCTGAGGAGCCCTGGGAGACCCGCCAACCTGCCTGGTGAGCGGCACAAGGCCATCCAGACAGGGTGGGAGGACCTGGCGGCTGGGCGGCCGCCAGAAGCCCTGCCTCCGCCCCCAGCAGCGGCAGAGTCCGCCACCCCGCCCCGAGAGCACTTTCTGGGGTGACGGGATCTGAGCCATCTCTAAGGTCCATCTGATTAATCACCCGCCCGGTTTCCCTGCCACCTTTTGCTATTTATAAAGAGGTTTCCATTCCGGATGACTCAGCCTGCGGGCCTTCAGGATCCGCTGTTCTTCATACTTGCCGCTAGGTGGCGGCATCTCACCACCAAACGCGTCTGCCTTGGTCGCGCAGCACCAGGCCGCACCGTTAGTCTGGCAGGCTCCGGGTGGCGTTAAAGCGGATGGTAGGAGGCAGGTCCCATCGCCTACAGCATCATTCTCCTCCAAACAGCAACATAGCCACTCCGCTGTCTGTCATTCCACTTCATATCTACTGTTTTTTTTTTTGCAGTTTTTTTTTGTTATTAAATCATAGCTGTGTACATTAATGCAATCATGGGGTACAATGTGCTGGTTTTATATACTATTTGAAAACTACTGTTTGTTTTTAATGGAAATGCAGATATGGTGGGATGGAGTCCTCATGCCTTATGATGGGGGAGAGGTCAAGAACCCAATCACCCATCCTGGTTGTTCTGCTGAGAGAATCTGGGGCCCCTCTAACAGGAGCAGAGGCCTCCCAAGGTCATTTTGTGTGTGGGTGGCAGAACTGAAATTGGAAACTGGACCCCAAAGTCCCTATCCTGCAGCCAACTGTCCCCCAGATGTCACTTTGTGCATTTAACTTCCCTGGATTGGGGCATGGCTAGGCAGAAGGGGATGGAGCCAAGGTGAGTCCCCAGCATCCCCTGGACTGACTTTGAGCCTTCTGCTCTGCCCCTCTAGATGACTGCCCACCACCCCCAGCCCCCTTTCCCCATCGCATCGTGGAGCTGAGAACTGGAAACGTCAACAGTGAATTCAGCATGAACTCCAAGGAGGCGCTGGGAGGGTGAGAGCTGGGAACCCAGCCTGGGACCCCTCAGCCTGAGGTTTTCCCTATGCAAGACCTACTTATACCCAACTTACACATGGCCCATGTGGACACCATCACCTCTGTGTGGTTACACATGTCATGCACAGCTATCACATGCTGATGTGCACTCAGTGTCACTGTCAACGCAGGCACATCCTTCAGTGCTTCTATAGGAAATGCACAGTATTTTCCTGTCTGTCTCCAGTCCAGGCACCACACCCACCCTCTCCCAGTGTGGTGATTCCTACCTTGCAAAAAGCCCAGACTTGGTCTGATATCCCAACAGATCCTTCCTCCCTCTGCCTGAGGGTCCCTAGGGCCTAGGGCCCTTGCCTGGTCTAGACCTCTATGTGTCACATCCCTGGGCCATTTTGCCCCCCTGTGTACATGGTTTGTGTGGTTCAAAGAACTTGTCTCCAGCTGTTGTCTTGCCATAGAGCTCACAGCTTGAGGGGGTGGTCAGGGTGGGCTGGGGTGAGAGCTCCCATCTCTCAGGGGGAGGATCCAGAGTCATCCTCAGGTCTGGGACTGAGATGGGAACAGAGTACAGTCCCCTCACTCCAAACCTCTTTTCTTTCCAGAGGCAAGTTTGGAGCAGTCTGTACCTGCACAGAAAGAGCCACAGGCCTCAAGCTGGCAGCCAAGGTCATCAAGAAACAGACCCCCAAAGATAAGGTACTGTAGGGGGTTTTGGCTGCTCAAGAGGGGGAGGGGATCCTTGGAATGGGCACCTTTCACCTCCCTCCATGCACATTGCTCAGCCAGGGGTCTGGTGTGGGAGGCTTTTTGCATTGAGGATCCCACACAGACAGACAAGACAGCCAGCCAGCCCTGCTGCAGGGGTCCGATGCCCCTAACCATAAACCAGACCCCCCAGTTAGTGAACTTATCTGGGGACTTCCCCTTCTAGGCACGGGATATTCATGCCCTCTGGTTCAATTCAACAAACACTGATGAGTGTGGGCTCTGGGCAGGCCCTGTGCTGGGCTCTGGGGGTCCTGGAGTGAAGTGGACGTGGTCCCCGCCCTCAGGGAGCTGACACCAAGGTAAACAAGCCCTGTCTAGAGCATTGCCTCTAGCACCCAGCTGGGCCGTGTTCAGAGGAGGCAGTGAGCAGGGTTTGTGCAAGGAAAGAACGGATGCTTGCAGGCTGAGGCCACATGGACTGAGAGAGTCTGGAGTGTGAGGAGGTGAAGACAACCTGGCAACCTAGTATAATCGGAGCTGTAACTCAGGACCAAGGGACCAGGGAAGGCTTCTGACTCAGCCCAAGGGCTCAGGGAAGCTTCTTGGATCAGCTTCTCCCTGAGTAAAAGCTTTGAAAAATGAAATGTTTCAGGAAAGAAAGCAGGAACAGAGTTTCAGGCAGCGGGCACTATGAGAGGAAAGCTGTGAGAGCCAGAAACAGCAGGGGGTGCTGAGGAGTGAGGTTATGGGCACCCCAGGCAAAGGCAGTCATGTGTGCAAAAGTCCTGAGCGCCTCCCAGCTCTAAGCACATTTGGGGGGAATGTCCTTTCTATGTGACTATAACCTTCTCTGTCTCTGCCACTCCACAGGGCCTGGACTCATATTCTTAGCCACTGGGTCCCAGGCCTCTATCCCACAACCTGGTCCAACATAGATGCTTAATTCCTATGTGCTGTGTCAATTAACCCGAACCAGCTATTGATTAATTACTTTTTTTTGATTTTTTTATTAATTAATTATTGAGTACTTTTTCTTTGCTACTTGCTGGGCCAGGTGCTTGGGAAAAGTCAGGGAACTGAACACGCCCCTGCCCTCATGGGGCTGACATTTTAGAGTGGAGGGACAGACAAGTAAAACGTAAAGCAAAACAAAAAGCATGGCGTGAAGTCCTGAGAAGCACTAGGAAGAAAAAGAAAGCCAAGTAAGGTATAGATACCACGAAGATTATGAGTAGATGTGAGCCCCCTTAGATGGGGGAATGAGATTAGACTTTTTAAAAGGGTGTTATGTGAGGTGGGGCCTGAATGAAGGAGTAGAATAAGGGAAAAGAAGGCCAATTTGGCAGTGATTCCATGCTTAGTGTTTAACAACTGGCTCTGGGCAGAGCAGGTAGGGGAGAGGCCTGATTTATAGCTTCTGCCAATTTCCATGGTGTAAATATTCCTACCACAGCTGATATATCAACCTACCAATGTGACAACTGGCTTGCAAACTTTCTGAAAATGACAAATAATGGTGGTTTAGGCTAGGAAGGCAGCAGAGGAAGTGAGAAATGAGTGGATTTATGGTGTAACCTGAAGGTGGACTAAGCTGAAAGGTTTACTGACAGGTTGGATGTGGGGTGTGAGGAATTGAGAGGAAGAGAGGAAGCTTTTGACTTTTCATCCTGCACCCTTGGGTGAAGCATAGTGTACCCATACTTTTGCTGCCAGGCAGGCTGAGGATGCCTCATTTGTTGGGAAAGGGGTGTATGATATCTAAAGATTAATTCCGGACACGATAGATTGGATGTCTAACAGACAAGGGAAATGGCTTGTATTGGAGTCTGGGGCTCACGGGAGTGAGCTAAGAGGCTAAGATATGTATGTGGGCATCAACTTCATTTGGAGGAAATGTAGAATCATGGGACTTGGTGAGAACGTCTGGGGAGAGAGCAGGGGGAGGGGAGAGATGGGGAAGGATGCAGCCCCCAGGAAGGCCAATATCCAGCCAGGAGGCAGAGGAGGAGAGCCAGTGGGAGTGACTAGGAGTGGTGAGGACAGCAGACATGGGCTGGGGGAGAGAAGGGAGGCAAGGAGGCCAACGAGGAGGCTGGGCAGTGGTCCAGGAAAGGCCAGGCCAGGTCAAGGGTGCGGATGCAAAGGGTGGAGGCAGGGAGAGATGGTGCTTGGCTGGTACCCTTGCCTTTTCTGGCCCCCAGGAAATGGTGAAGCTCGAGATCGAGGTCATGAACCAGCTGAATCACCGCAATCTGATCCAGCTCTATGCAGCCATCGAGACCGCGCATGAGATCGTCCTGTTCATGGAGTAGTGAGTGGTGGCAGTGGGGGTGGGGGCCAGTGGGGGTGCCAGCAGGCCCAGAGCAAGCCTGTGGAGGGGTCTGTGCACACAGCATCGAGGGCGGCGAGCTCTTCGAGAGGATTGTGGATGAGGACTACCACCTGACCGAGGTGGACACCATGGTGTTTGTCAGGCAGATCTGCGACGGGATCCTCTTCATGCACAAGATGAGGGTTCTGCACCTGGACCTCAAGGTACCGGGGCTGGGGTTTCCAGGGAGGGGACGGGAGCAGCATCCAACCCCCGAGATCAGTGTTGTGCCAGCCAGCCCCCATCCTCCCATCCCTCCTTCTCTACCACCATCTATCCTTCCTTCCATAGATTGAAAAAAAGGTTTATTGAGTACTTACCAAGTGCCAGGAGGGAAGGATAAAACAGAAAGGAAAGCAACAATATAGTCCCAGCTTTCATGGAAATTCCTTTCTAGTCCTCAGTATCGTGGGAAGGGTCTTTTGCAGTCCTGTGAGTGCTCAGCCCCAAGCTCCGTGTCTCACACAATCTCACACAGACAAGGGGCAAGTATTGCAAAAGCACCTATCTCACTGTTGTCCTAAAATAGGTACTGTGAATGTTTGTTCATTTATTCAAAATCAGCAAATATTTGCTGAGGGACTACTATATGCCAAGCAGCATTCTAATTTTTTTTTTTTTTTGAAGCTGTCTCATTCTTTCTCTCTGGTTAGAATGTTGTGGCATCATTGTAGCTCACAGCAACCTCAAATTCTTGAGCTCAAGCGATCCTCTTCCCTCAGTCTCCCAAGAACCTGGGACTACAGGCACCCACCATGACACCTTGCTGGTTTTTCTATTTTTAGTAGAAACAAAGGTCTTGCTCTTGCTCAGACTGATCTCAAACTCCTGGCTCAAGCAATTCACCTACCTCGGCCTCCCAGAGTGCTAGGATTACAGACATGAGCCACCATGCCAGCCTCAGGCAGTGTTCTAGGTGGTGGAGATCCAGTGATGAGCCAAATACAGAGGGTACCAAAAAAGTATACACATTTTAAGAAAGGAAAAAGCTGTATTAAAATTGTAATACTTAACATATACCAATAACAAAAGATGAATACAGGTCACATTGAACACCTCTTATAATGGCAGAAATCAAATACGACTTGAGTATTACCTTAACACTTCTTTCATTAAAATGTGTATACTTTGGGGTGGTGCCTGTGGCTCAAAGGAGTAGGGCCATATGCCGGAGGTGGCGGGTTCAAACCCAGCCCTGGCCAAAAACTGCAAAAAATAAAAAATAAAAAAATAAATGTGTATACATTTTTGGCACCCTCTTTAGATAATCCCTGCATTTGTGGAGCTTACAAATAAGTACAGTGTTAGTACAGCAATATACACGAGGGGGGTGCTAACAAAACCATTTAATGAAGGATAATTTATATTCTCCTTTGGATGTCGACCAGTACGGTACACCTGGGAGGTTGGGAAGAGCAAATAGATGTTATGTATGTCGCCTCAGCTCCCATCAGCTGGCCAGGGAAGCAGGACAGCCAAATGTTGGCTGTCCTGAGGTCAGGCGTTCCTGCTTATGGGCTAAGTGGCAAGGTAGTGGAGGAGAGGAAATCTCAACCCTGAGGTGAGTGGGCACCCATCAGCCAGGTGGATAGTACTTTCAGTCACTTATTTGCTAGACACCTACTGAGTACCTGCTGTGGAAGGGCCTGTGCTAGACATGGGGGCTACGCGGGACGTAGGATATGGGCCCTGTCTCGTGGATCCTCCAGGTTAGTGGGGGAAACAGATATTCATTAAATAGGACTAAGTAGGTCATTTTAAGCCACTGAAAGTGATATGAGAAAGCACTTTGAGAGCCAGGTGCGGTATAATCCTAGCACCCTGGGAGGCTGAGGCAGGTGGATCCCTTGAGCTCAGGAGTTTGAGACCAGCCTGAGCAAGAGTGAGACCCCATTTCTACCAAAAATAGAAAAGCTAGCTGGGTGTCATGGCAGGTGCCTGTAGTCCCAGGTGCTTGGGAGGTTGAGGCAAGAGGATCACTTGAGCCCAAGGATTTGAGGTTGCTGTGAGCTGTAATGATGTTGTGGCACTCTACCCAGGGTAATGGAGTGAGACTCTGTCTCAAAAAAACAAAAGAACTTGAGAGTAATGAGGAAGTGTAAATGGTGAAAGTGACAAGTAGGCCCAGCCAGAGCACTGGGGTCTGAAGCAAAGTGGGGAAAGGGTGCTGCTGCACCCCACACCTCGCCTCTGCATGTGGGGTATCAGTAGCTGTTCTGAGTGAGCACATGAACTTCCCAACAGCCCACTGATGGCAGGTGGCTGAGGAGGTAGGTTTCAGTGGTGCTAAATAGAAGCAGAGGCCTTAGAGACTATGAGCCAGGGGAGAGCTGATAGGGCTTGAGACAGAGTGGCAGTAGGGGAGAGGAGGGCAAGTGGCCAGATGGCGGCTACATTTGGGAATGAGGACCAATCTGATCTGTTGCTGGTTTGCATGTGCGGAGCTTAGGGAAAGGAAAGGGTCAAGGGTGAATTCCTGAGTTACCGGGCAGATGGTGGCTGCTTCACTGTGCTGGGGGCAGGTGGTACCCGCACAGTGACACTGGAGGCCTGTCTTTCCCTCATGAAAGCTAATTTCGCTGGGGTAGGCCAGGGTCCCCAATTAAAATGCGATGCTCAAGGAGGAAGCTCGTTAAGCTTCCATATCCTAAAATGTGCTTTTGCAGGGAGCAATCAGAAAATCAAGGTTCTGGGGCTTCTGAGGCCCTCTCATGTGCAGGCCGAGAATCTCTGAAAAAGATCTGAGTCTGCCTTATTTCCCCAAATGTTTGTGCGCTGGGAACTTTCTTTTCTTCCCTTGTTTTGGTGGAACGACAGGCTGAGCTACTAACGTCATTAGTGTCCTGCTCTGTGTGAATTTATCAATTCTAAAAGGGCCTTCAGAAAATGTTTCGTGAGGGACCTTGAATCAAACGCTTACAGAGCCCAGACAAATAGCAAAAATGTGTTGTTTGAGCCAGGCCAGGGGGGTGGAGACCACAGGGGAGCTGGAGGACTTTTGTCATATCTTGGGGATCAGTGGCAACTCACTGCCAGGAGTGTGGCCTAGGTGGCCCAGCCTTTCAGTTTTTCAGGACGGGCTAGAAATCAGAGTTTTGGGAAAAAACTCTTGCTTTTGAACCACTGTTCAAAAACTTTAACATGTTTATACCCTGCAACCTCAGATTAGTCCTGGGTCCTAGTGTTGCAGGAAGAGGAAGTGGAGGCCCAGACTTCGCCTGACATTAACTTCACTCACATGTTTTCTTGTGCTGGGGTTTCCTCTGGGACCTGGCTTACTACCTCCTGGGTACCTTTGTTAGACATTGAGGGTGGGGACCAAGGAGGCCAGAAGAGAGTCCCTGCCCTGGAAGAACAAGCCCAGTAGCACCGTGTCTGCTCCAGCTCCCACCTCGTGGAAAGCACTGAGGGTTTTTTTTAGCCAGTGGGTGCAGAGGGACATGGGGAGGCCAGTGCTGGAGCCAGTCCTGGATTCAAATTCTGGCTCTGTTGCTGGGCAACTGTGGCCAAGTCACTGCTGTGTCTGAGCCTCAGTTTTCTCAACTGCAAAATGAGAGCCAATGGTCACACTATCTCAGTGTAACAGTGCCTGTTGGAGGACTGATGAACTAAAGCGTGGAGAGTGACTGGGCCTGACCTTGTAGTTTTGTAGCTCATTGTCGTCATTACTAACTGAGGGTCAAGGCCAACTGGGGAGACGTGAGTAACACTGGTGCAGAGCCCTGTGCTGGTATTTTTTCTCTCTGTCTTTCTCTATCTGGGGGTGACATTGCACTGGCCTCCCAGCCCAGGGCACACGTCTCCTCCTCTGCACGTTTCAGTTTCCCCATGCGTAGAATTACTAGAATGTTTCTTTACTGCCTTAAATGGAGGGAAATCACACCTGAACCCACCCAAAGGGTCTCATGCAAGTCCCTCCCAGGGCCTCAGGATCCTTCTCCATGTCCAGGGCAGGCAGGTCGGGGGGTGCTCTGATGGCTGCTCACCCTGGCAGTGTGGGCCTTTGCCTCAGGAAGCCTGGATGTGGGTGGACCTGATGGGAGAGAGAGAGAGAGCTGAGTCGTAAGCCAATCCAGGCCACCCCCTTTCTCCTCAGCCAGAGAACATCCTATGTGTCAACACTACAGGTCATTTGGTGAAGATCATTGACTTCGGCCTGGCACGGAGGTACCACCTGCATGGGCAGGGAGGGTGGGGCTCACCTCTGAGGCTGGCAGGGGCAGGGGTGGGGTAGAGAGTGTCCAGGAGCAAACCTGGAGTTGTGCTCTGAGCTCTTGGTTTCATCCCCAGGTATAACCCCAATGAGAAGCTGAAGGTGAACTTTGGGACCCCGGAGTTCCTGTCACCTGAAGTGGTGAATTATGACCAGATCTCTGACAAGACGGACATGTGGAGCCTGGGTGTTATCACCTACATGCTGTGAGCCAAGGGAGGGTGGCATGCAGGGGTGGGTGGGGCACACAGGTGGGTAGCCCAGGCCAGTCTTGGCCTTGGGATCTTGGTGAGGTGGACCCACCTTTGTGATCCCTCAGTCATGGGATCACTGGGGGCAGGAGTGCTAGAGAGAAGAGGATAGGAGAAGGTTATATCCATTTCATAGGTGGAAAAGCCAAGGCCCCTAAAGGCATAGCATCCCAGCCCAGGCAGAGGGGTAGAAGACCTTTTTGTGTGCTTGCCACATATCTCACACTTAACATTCCTCATCTTCACTGTGACCCTGGGAAGCTAGGATGATTATGCCCATTTTACAGATGAGAAGAGTGAGGCTCAGAGAGGGGAAGTGACTTGCCCACAGTCACCCAGCCAGATTCAAACCCAGGTCTGTCCCACTCAAAAGGCTGGGGGTCTTTTCAGCACAAGGTGCTTCTTCCTAGGATCTGTTCCTGTCCCCTCCCCCATGAAGGTGTTTTGGCCTCTCCATTCTCACCCCCCCACCCCTGCTATCCTTGCCTCTAGGCTGAGTGGCCTTTCCCCCTTCCTGGGAGATGATGACACAGAAACCCTAAACAACGTTCTGTCTGGCAACTGGTACTTTGATGAGGAGACTTTCGAGGCTGTATCAGATGAGGCCAAGGACTTTGTCTCCAATCTCATCGTCAAGGACCAGAGGTGAGGATTGTGCCAGGAAGAGGGCTCTTGCTGTGTAAGCTTAGTGCAAGTCCGGGCCTGCAGGGCGGGAACTGAGTGCAGGCTGCTGGGCCCTGGTGCCCATGGGCATGCACCCACCTTACCTCGCTGCTCTGCCCAGGGCCCGGATGAGCGCTGCTGAGTGTCTTGACCACCCCTGGCTCAACAACCTAGCTGAGAAAGCCAAGCGCTGTAACAGACGCCTCAAGTCCCAGATCTTGCTTAAGAAATATCTCATGAAGAGGCGCTGGAAGGTACTACTAGATCCAGGGAGGGGACAAGGGAGGGACTATAGGGCAGGAAAAGGTACTGATGCCAGGCCCCAGGCCCCACCAGCCCTGTCTTGGCAGGTTCTGTTGACCAGACCCAGCCCTGTCTGGAAAACAGGGTTGGCTTTTCTGTCTTTGCCCTGGGCTGGCCCCTGTCCTGGAGTGGAGACCTCCACCCACCCCTCCACTCTGGGGATGGGCGGCCATCTGGGGCTTGGGCTCAGGGGAAAGTCTCTGACCCCATCATAGGGTCCTTTCCTTCATTTTCCAAATATTTATTGAACGACCACTACTTCTAGGCACCAGGATACAGCAATGGACAAAAGAGCCAAGGGTCTCAGTCTTTAAGAACTTATTCTTAGGGGGTGATGGGGTGTTATTAGGCAGGGTTAGGACAGGGCTCTAGAAAAACATAAAGACTGTCAGCCTGGGGAGAGGTTGCACTTGCATGTGGGGGTCAGGGAGGATGAAGCATGTGAACAAGAGGTCAGGGCTGAGCCATGCCAGTACGAGGGGAGAGAATTCCAGGCAGAGGGGGAGGCAGTGCAAAGACCCGGAGACAGAAGCACCCTGGGAAGCTTGAGGAACAGGTAGGAGGCTATAGTAGGTGGAGTGGAGTTAGCAAGTGACTAGGAGTGAAGTCAGACCAGAACAGGGGGGCGAGATGTGGAGGGACTCATGGGCCATGGTGAGGGTTTGTCTTTTACTTGGAGCAAAATTGGAGCCATTGGAGTGTTTTGAGGAGAGGGCAGTCAGTTCTGGTCTGTTGAGTGAAGGCAGGAATCATGACGCCTCCTATGGCCATTTTGGGCACTGCACCCTCCCTGGCCTCTGGGCCTCTTGGAATGGGAGGGACCTTAGGAGGATGCTTGTCCACCCCCACAGCTTCTGCCCTGCCCTGGTGTTGACTGGGACTTCTCCCTTTTCCTCCAGAAAAACTTCATTGCTGTCAGTGCTGCCAACCGCTTCAAGAAGATTAGCAGCTCGGGAGCACTGATGGCTCTGGGGGTCTGAGCCCCAAGAGCAGCTAAGGCCTGGATGCAGCCGCATAGTGGATGGGGCTGAGGCCACACAGCCCAGAAGGCCAAAGAAGGCAGCCAGAACCCCAGGCTGGGCTGGCCAGGACAAGGCTGCGCCAGGCTGGGAGGCTCGGGGCTCCCCATGCCCCCGTGCAGTGACCGCTTCCCCGACATGAGCCGCCCGGAGTGTGGCCTGGACCCATCCTGCTAGTGCCTCCCCAGACAGGGCTGCTGCCTGTCAGCCACAACCTAGATGCCACGGCCCATTGAGGCCACTCCCTGTTCCCTCCTCAGCTCTCCTCTTTGAATGGCTGCTTCGATGACCCTGCTTTGCCCCTACTGGGGCATCCCAGCCTGGGCTTGCTCCTAGCTGGGGTGGGATGGCTGGGGGTCTTCATATACAGGACTCCTTTGGTTGTGGGTGGGAGGTTGCAGGGAGGCAGCAATGCCGATTCTTGAGGCCCAGCTGCCAGGGAGACAGAGCAGGCTTTGTGAAAGAGGACCTCTGTGCCCCACCGCCTCCCTATCCCAGCAGATAAGGCCTAGCCCACACCATCTGGCCAGGGCTGAGCCCCACCCATCTTCTTGCGACCACCAACACACAGGAACTCTGTGTGAGAGAGAGGACGCCCAGCCCAGGCCTGGCGGAGGGGTAGGGGAAAAGCCTGGGGCCACAGGAGACCACCCCCGAGCTTGCCTCAGAGCTAGGCTGGCCCAACCCGGCCACTTGTGGCCCCATCTCTGGGGCACTTATGGCCTAGAGGATGGGGTCAGCAGGCCCAGGAGGAGTGGGAAGGCAATTGGGCAGCCCCTGCTCTCAGCTTGTGGCTTGTAAATAAATGTACAGGTTGGATGTGACCTCCTGCCTTCCATGTGTGTACTCGTGTGAGATTCCAGATGACTATAGTTGGTTGAGCTCCTACTGTGGCCAGGTACTTGAGTAAAGCCTATCAGCTTGAATGAGGTGGTTCCACGTGATGTCATGGCCAGTGGCTTCCCCACGTTGTGCCTCAGTAACCCCACCTGTGAGAGGAAGGCACCACAATGGCCAGCATGGGTGATGAATGCGTGCCTGGCTTTATTTAAAGTACTTGTGCATATGTGAACTCATTTGCCCCTCACAGCAGGTTGTGAGGTAAATGTTACTATTTACAGAGGGGGATACTGAGCCAGAGATAGTGGCAGTGACAGGACCTGCTTCATGGGGTGGGGTGATGGTTGCACCAGTCAGACTGAGGTGGAGAGCTCAGGGCTTGGCTTGGCATGGGAGAGTGCCCAGGGAGCACCAGGGTTCTCATTCTTGCTTAACACTGAGGCTGAGAACGGGGAAAGAACTTGAATGCTGCTCAGCAAGTTAGGGGTTGGAGCTGGAGCTGGAAATGAACTTTCCTCTCTCCCAGAGCAAGGCTGTGCCCTGAGGTCACAATGCTCCCACCAGAACAAGTGGTAAGCAGGAAGCAGGAAGCAGGGGCTCCAGGTAGAGGTCAGGTTGGGCAGGCCCAAGATGCCTCTGCTGGGTCTGCAATGAGGGCCTCCCAGGCATCCTCAGGGGAGAGGGGTCTTCTCTGCTCTTTACCACTGGCCATAGCCCACCTCACCCCAGGCCAGCAACGCAGGGCAGGGGGCTCCACTGCTAGAGGGGATGGTCTAGAGGGCAAGAGAGTTGAACTCTGATAAGGTGAGCCTTTCTGGCTATGAGGACTACAGAGTCAGAAGTGGGGCTGGCCTGCTGGGAGCATAGAGGTTCTGGTAGGAATAGCAGAGATTGCCGTGACATGCATTGAGCCCCTGCTGGGTGCGGAGCCTGACCCAGGCCCATGTTCACCAGCATATCAGCTGCTCACAGTGACCCTGAGTGTTGTGTCCATTTCTCAGAAGAGGAAGACAAGCCTCAGGAAGGTTCAGCCACTTGTTCAGGGCCACACAGCTAATCAGGGCAGAGCCAGGATTTGGACCCAGATAGCTTCTACCCAGAACCCCTGCTCTAAACCCCTTTACTTCCAGCCTCCTGACCTCCTAAGAAACCTTGGACTTGCTCTCAGACAGAAACCTGGACAGTTCATCCTATTCCTCTCCTTCCTCCAAGGTCATTGGCCTGGAGGGGGAGGCCAGAGGGTGGGTACGGGGGGGGCTGTTGCAGCAGGTACCACATGGGGTGGGCTGTGGGTAACTCTGGGGCCCAGGCCTTATCCTTGCAATCAAGAGCTCAAACGCCTGGAGAGTCCAGCTTGTGCTCTTACTGGGAGGTGTGCCATGGATCCCTGCCTGCCTGCCCACCCGCCCGCCACCTGCCAGCTGGGCCAGGCCTGTAGTTTCCTCTGAATGGTTCTTGGCCTTGCTGGCCCCCACCCAGGCTGAGCCTCGGCCACACAGCATGATGATGAGGGATGAGTCACTACTGTGGGGGGAGGGGAGGAGAGGAGGTCCAGGCTGAGCAGACATCAGGGCCTGGATCCAGCTGGGGAAACCAAGGCCAAAACAGGGAAGGCCTGTAAAGACAGTAACACCTGGGACTAGAACCAGGGACTAGAACCCTGCCTCCCAGGACAAGCCTCAGTTTCCTTCTTCATAAGGAAAAGGTAAGTTTCCTTTTCTTGGTCTTCTTCAACCTCAGCTCTTGTCTGCCACTCCTAGGGCCACGTGACAGTAGACGGATGAGATGGGGTGCTCATGCGCCATATTTTACAAGGGAAGAAACAGAGGGAAAGTGACTTGCTTAAGGCCACACAGAAAATTAACATGTCCTAGGCAAGAAGCCCACCCAGAACTGTGGAGCAGGGCTGATCACTGCCCTCAGACCCAACCCTCCCCAGGAGCACCTTTGAGAAAGCTCTTTTTGATTCATCTGTGTCTCTCCCAGTCCCTGGAGGCAGAGAATACAGCCTTGACAGTATGGATGAAGAACTGGGGACTCAAAAGGTTCTTGTTCCCTCTGAGGGCCACAGAGTGCACTCAGGGAAAAGCTGGATCCAGCTCTCTGCAGACCTGGGTTCCAGCCCCATTGCTTTGAGAAGAGCTCTCATCTCTAGCAGTTGCAGGAACAAAGACTTTCCTCCCTATGACTATGCTGATGTAGAGAGAGAGGGTCTATTGTTGGTTTGAGACTGCTAAGCTGGAGCCAGTACTGAGCAAGATCAGGACCAAGGCTCTGGGTCTGGGGTCCTACAGCTCCCAGCTGTGAGCTTCCATGCCCCTAGCATAGCTTGTTCTGGCCCCACAGTACCAGGGGGCATGGGCCCCTCCTGCTCAGTGTCCATCACACTGCTGACACTGTGATCTTCCCCTGCAAGGTGCTTTGTGCCTCCACTGTGCCAAGGCCATGAACTTCCCCTGCACAGGGTCTTGGGCCCTGGGTGAGCTAAGAAGGGTTAACACCCTCGGTGGGACTGCTCCTCCCAGTTGGTCCCAGCCCAGAGCACTTTCCTCCAAGACCATTTCCTGCCTCTGGGCCTTAGCCAGGCCCACAGTGACCACCCCTATGGGTCTGGAAGCCACTGAGGCCACATCTGGTTTGGATTACATCAGGGCTGGTGACTCTGCCTTTTCCTGTCTGGGTCCAGTGGCCTCAAATTCCACCAGCCACCTTGGACCCAACAGGGAAGTGGTGGGAAAAGATTTAGGCAGTGACAAGGTTACCCCGAGGGAGTGGAGCAACCAGGGTGGTCCTGAAGGATGTGCCCACCTGGACCAAGCTCCTACCTGTGAGGCTGCCCGTGCACCTGTTCCTTTCCTTCCTTCACACTAAGGGGTAATATTTATTGAGCACCAGACTTGGTACCAGGAGATTTTCAGGTGTTAATTCATTTCACTTATACCCTATAAATAGGTATTTTCATTGCCAGCATTTCACAGATGAGGAAACCGAGGCACAGGACATGTATGGACAAGTCCCTGGGCTCCTGGCCAGCATGCAGTGGGGTCAAAGAGCAAGGCAGGTGGTCTGACTCCTTACAACTGATGACTTCACGTTTGCCGAGTCCTGCGTGGGGCCTTGCGCCAAAGGAGAGCTTGGAGATAAATTAATATGATCCTTGTCCTCAGGGAGCTCCCACCCTGGTGAGAGGGTGGAGATCAGGGTGAAGCCGGAAGGAAACTCACAAAACCATGACGATATGAAGGAGACACTAACCCCTCTTCTTCTCTCCAGTGGGAGTGACAGACACACTGAGGGCAAATAAGGAGCAGGGCTTTTCCAGGTAGAGAGTGAAGAGAGTGTTCCAGGCAGGAGCAGGGCTTTTCCAGGTAGAGAGTGAAGAGGGTATTCCAGGCAGGAGCAGTGCTGTCCAGAGACTAGGAGCTGAGGACAAGCTTGGAGCATTCTAGTAAGGCTTTTGCATGAGATGAAGCAGGAAGTAAGTCGGGAGAAGTTAGCAGGAGCCTCGAATGGCAGGCTGACTCTGGACAATAGGGCGCCACAGAAGAGTTTTGAGCAAAGGAGAGACATGGTCTGTGATTTGGAAGGATCTCTACAGCCAGGGAGGTCAGTGAATGGTGGGGAGAGACTGGAGGAAGGGAGCCCAGGTGAGGGTGGGCCATGTGTGCTTAAGAGGTTGTAAGAACTGTGGGAACAAGAGGAAAGGGCACACCACTTAGATGGCTCTAGGAAGACAGAGAGATTGGGTTCCAAGTTAGACAGAATGGGGTTCACATGTACTTATTTACTGTCTCTGAGCCTCAGTTTCTCATGTGCAAAATGTGGTAATAATAGTACCTAAGACATGTAGGGAGAGCCCAGTATAGGCTGCTGAGCTTATATTTCTTTCACAACTGTGTCTCAGACCTCTACTGTGTTCCCGAGACTGTTCTGGGTGCTGGAGACAAGCAGTGAATAGACAAAACTCCCTGGTCTTACAAAGCTTCCTTCCAATGGGAGAGACGGATACTGAATGGCAATAATGAATTTAAAATGTGTTGATTGGGGGGCAGGTAGGGAATGTGGTGGCCAGGGAGGGCTTCTCTGAGGATGTTTGGACAGAGACCAAAGGATGTGAGGGTGTGAACCCTGTGGGTATCAGCAGAAGGCTGGCCCAGGCAGAGGGATGAGTAAGCATAAAGGCTGCTTACTTGAGAGAAAGGAAAGCCAGACGAGGGGCAGCCAGGTCCCAGGGGCCCTTGCTGAAAAGGACCTAGGCTTTTGCTCTGGGTGAGAGAGCGAACCTCTGGGGATTCTTTGAGATTCTGTCCATGGTGAATGGATGAGCGGAGGACCTTGGCTCCATCCATCCACTTAGGATCTCTTTGATGGCCTCCTATGTGCTGGTCTTCAGGTTAGGGCAGTAGATGAATAAGGAGGGCCTGAAGTGTGCATTCTAAGGCAGAGACACAATGAAAACCGAGTGCACATACACACGCGTGATTCCGCGTTGCTGCAGGTGCCATGTGGGGGAAACAAACAGGATGCAGAGAGGGAGAGTAATCTAGAGGCCTCTGATTAGATAAGAGAGCGATGTTTTGACATGGATGCTGGGTGTTGAGCAGCCAGCGAGGAGACAGCATTCCAGGCAGAGGGAATAGCCAGTGCAAAGGCCCAGAGATGGAAAGAAACTCACCCGGGAGTCAGCTGTCTCAGGGAGCAGCCGCTCTTGTTTGCATCCAAGTAAGTTCAGGTGGCCCTGAGGCCTATGGTCAGGAGGGGGCAGTCCTGGCCTCCTTACCGGCACCAGGCCAGGTTCTCGTTGACCTCATGATTAAATGAAACTTTGGCCCCTTTTTGGCCATGAAAGTGCTTCTTTCTGTCCCAGCATCTGCCTCCTTGAGTCTCTCTTCCCAGTCACCAAGAGGGTGGGAACAGGGGTTTAGGCAGGTCTGGGCCTGTGGGATGTGGGTTTAGCCATGTGCAAAGGGAGGAGAATAGAGGATAGGGCTGAGGGTTTGAGGCCCTCTGGTGGGGTTGTTTTATACTTCAATCTCATTCCTGTTGACAGAATTGTACACATAATGTATGTGTAGGGTACATTCCTACAGGTTGGAATCATTACCATTTTACAGATGATGAAACTGAGACTCAGAGAGGTGAATGCACTTGCTCAAGGTCACCCAGCAGGGAAGCAGAGACGCCAGGAATTAAGCCCAAAACCTTGTCTGTGTAACAGTTCTTCCTCCCCCTACACACTCCCCCCAGAGTAGCTAGACATTTCTCATGTGAAAGGGAACATTCCCAGCACCCAGTGCCTCTTTATCTTGCTTAACAAACACTTACATTGCTGTTGGCACATGCCAGACCCTGTTCTAAGCACACTGCAAATAATAACTCATGTAATCCTCAAATAGCCCCATGAAGGTAGATACTGTTAGTGTCCACATTTTATAGAGGAGGAAAACACAGAGAGGGGAAGCCACTTGCCCAAGGTCACACAGTGAAGAAGTGGGAGAGCTGGGATGTGAACCCAGTCTGTCAGTCTCCAGGAGCTCCCACAGCCTCTGTGGGGGGGACTAGTCTGTGTGGGGAAGGGAGGTTTTTTGGCTGAGGCCTAGACGCTTGGGTTTTGCATACTGTGGCAGGTGGACGTGCCAGGCTGGCCACACAACCGCCTCCTTCTTCCTTAGCACCATGGCAGCCTCTGGGAGCCCTGCCCTCCAAGGGAGAGGGTCTCCCTACCCTCAGCCAAAGCACTGTCTGGGTGTGGGGAGGAGTGTCTAACTCCGGGCTGTGGAATGCTGTAGACCAGGGAAGGAAGCGGGTGGGCGGGAGAGCAGTCCAGAGATAAGATGTGGGGGTGGATGGGCCTCTGAGGAAGGCCAGCCCTGTGGGTGGGGGTGGCCTCCTTGGGGGCAGGGAGTCCTCCCCTCCCTTAGGAGAGCACAGACCAAGGGCCCAGCAGGTGAAGAACTTTCTGATGGTTCTTCAGCGCTGCCAAATTTTGGTGGGAAGGGGCTGCCTGTGAGGGCAATGGGCTCCCCTTTCCCAGAACCCCACGAAATGTCCAACACTTGATGTCATAGAGAGGATTTAGAAATTGGGCCAGAGACGCCCTTCCAACTCTGATATTCCAAGAATCTGAACTGCTGTGATTAAAAACTCTGGAATATTCTGAAATACCACTGATTTTACCATTTTAGAATTTGATTTAGCATAACCCTGCAAGGCATCTTGGTATCCCTTTTTGCTCTATCTAACCTGCTGAGGAGGAGAATGGTGACTAGGAGCCCCTCCTGGAGACAGACAAACCACCAGCAAAGAATGTCTTTGAGGCAGTGTCAGATGTGATGGCCCTGTCCTCCCACAATTACACAGTTAAGGCAGTAGAAGAAGGTATGATGGATGGGTTGGGAAGACACCTCTGCTCCTGCCTTCCTATGTGACCTTGGGCATTCACTTACCTCCTCTGGCCTTGGTCTCTCCATCTGTGCCCAGGGGTTCTCTCTGGGTCAACCCAGATGAGGCTTTTGCCAACCTCCTCCCCCACTCTAGGAGGAAGTGGTCAGGCAGGAGCCAGAGGTATCTGTTGACCTCTGTCAATGGGTAAAAGCAAGAGGCCCGGTGGGTGGGGGTCTGAGGCTGGGCAGCTAGCAGAGGAATGGGACCTCCTCCAAGCTATCCCCCAGGTCAGACCCTCTTCTAGCACCCAGACCCAAAGAGTCAGGCTGCCCATGCCCCCATCTGCTGGGTGAAACCCAGAGAGGTAGATGCTGAGCCCAGGGTCCTCCTTGGGGATAGGGGTGGAGGGGTTTATCTTCACTTCCTGACAGGGGGGCAGATGGAGGTGTGCAGAGGGGGGTCTCCATGCACCCACCTATGCCCTTTCTCATGATCCACCATGGCAAAGGGTGAGGAGAGGGCTGAAATAGTCAGAGGTTAACCCTCCTCATGGGATGAGCAGAGCAGGAGGGGCCTGGGTCTCCCAGCCTGGCCAGTCTCTATTCAACTAGTTCAGGACACAGGCTAGGAAGGGACTGAGATCATCAGGGCTCCACAGGAATGCACGACAGGGAATGGTGCCCAGCAGAGGCCTTCCCGGGCCCAAGTGAGAAGAGCCTCCTCCCTTTAAATCTGTCTCTGTCTCTGTGTGGCCCAGCTTGTACACACACACACACACACACACACACACACACACACAGAGCCCGAGGCACGTTGACCCATACAGTCACATACTGGGCTTCACATAAGAGCCTCCTTCCACTTCTCACCCAAGCCCCTCACTCTTGGAGGGTCTTCCCCCTCTCTTTTGACCCACAGAACTGCCCACATGGGACAGGACAGACCCTTGCTTCTTCTTCCCTCCATCTGATGGGTTCTGGACTGGGGTTCAGTGGACAGGATGGGGAGGAGCCCACAGCTGGCCAGGCATTTTCCCAGCCCCTCTTACCCCACAAGTCCCTCCACCCCCCACTATAGCTCTGAGTCTGTGGGAACCAGACAGTTCAGGCTGTCCAGCCAGGCTCACTTCCTCCCAGGCCCCAGGGGACCTGCTGAGGGAAGAGGGAGCCGCAGGGACTGAAGCCAGCATGGCTGCCTGCTCAAAGAAGGTCCTCTGGAGGAACTGGGCTGTCTGCCCAAGAGGGGTCTCCAACCCCCTGGGTGTCATCTCTTAGGACATAAGATGCTCCAGGCCCTATCCCAAAGACCAGAATGCAGGTGCCCTGAGCACCCTGGCTCTCTTCTCTCTCCCTATACCTACGATCGAGATGGAAGGCCTGAGGCTTGGGGGAAGAAGCCATTTGCCTCTACTCCTCCAGCACTGTGAGGACAGTGGGGTTTCAGGTTCTATGTCTATTCCTCTGATGGGGACCATGAATGCTCCCATTCCTCCTGCTTCCATGCAAGGGGGTAGCTAGAGAAGGTCAAAGGTCAGGGCTCAGTCACTTCTGATCTGTGCCCAGGACAGCTATGGACCTTGTCCCTGTCCCAAGAGAAATGCTTTCTGCAAGAGTCACCAGGAGGCCTTGGAGAGCTGGAACTCAAGGGAGGTCCCCCATTGGTGTGGGAAATGCAAAGAAGAGGACAAGTACCGCCCCTCAGATTTTGGGTTCCCAGCCTGCACAGTGGAAAGGGGTGCTCCAACCGTGTTCACCCCCTTCATCCTCATACAAACTGCAGGTCGGGGGCTAGAGGGCACAGCCACACATACCTGGTCTGATGTCCTCTTTGCATTTACTTGCCAGCTGGAGCTGGGGCTAGTGTGCCCCGAATTCTCTGGGCCTCAGTTTCCACTGCTGAAAACAGCTAACTTTCCACATCACACATTTCACATCATACATCAAAATAACCGTGACCATTTACAGATTAAATGCTGCAAATGGTTACAGTTATTTTGACTGCCATCTCAGCTTTTGAGGCAGCAGAGTCACCCTCAGGCCAGCCCAGCCTCACCCCTGCCGGTCTGTCTCAGTTGCATTCCTCCTCTCCCTGCTCCCATCCCCTGCCTCCCCCTCCTCTGCTGTCCTGGGAAACTCCCTGTGAAAGTCCCCAGCAGGAGAAAGCCCCATGTGAGACATTCCCACCGAGGGTGCCTACCTCTGCTGTACAACCCCAAACCACAGCCACTCCACACAGAGCCAGGCGTCCCGGCCTTGGCCCCGGACCATCCAGCAAGCCGTGCCTCATCATCACACTGCCTTTATTGGCCTTGAGAGCCACAGAGTCACTCCCAAGGGGCCCCTCTTCCCCTCACCCCAGATTTGTGCGGAGGCCCCAGAGGCTTGGCTGATTGCTCGCTGCTTTAATCCTGGCTTTCTGTCCTGGTTGTCCTTAGCTTGCCAGGGATGGTTCCTTCGCGAGCTCTCCAGGTCCTAGAGCCAGGCTCAGCCTGGAGGATGCAGTTAGTGGAAGCCCTGCAGGGACCGCCCGAATTGAGGCTGCCTTCACTCAAAGAAGAACATTCCTGGAGTCCGGTATAAGCAGGGGGTCAGCCCCAGTGGATAGCTGGAGCCTCCCTGCACAGGGAAGCCACCTGCAACCCAGGGTTCCTTGGGGTCAGCTGGAAGGGGCAGTGGGGCCCGGAGTGAGGCTGGAGGAGTGAGGGGTGCAGGGGAGGGGGCTGCTGAGGCCAAAAGGTGCTCCAAGCCTGGGTCAGTCCCCATGCTGAAATTCAGCGCCTGCAAACGGCATTGGTAGCTGCTCCCAGTGCCTGCCTCAGAGGTCAAGGCAGGTGTGGGGGCCTTGTTAAAGCCCTCAGCTTGGCAGAAGCCAGCAGGAAAGCCAAATGCTGGGCACGGGGAAGATGAGGTGGCCACAGGGTGCTCCCCTGGGCCTGCAGGCTTGGGCATAGAAATCTCTTTGGGCTCAATGGATGGCCGAGGCTTGGCATCAGTGGTTGCTGGGCACATGCTGGCTGGCAAGGCCCCCAACAGACCCCCAAAGCTTGTGTCTTTGGGGCCTGGTAGCTCTGGTGAGAATGGGCACTGCCTGCTGGTTGTGGTGTTGGGGACCCTTGGGTCCTGGCTGGTCACTCTAAGGGATCCACGACGTGCCCTGGCAGGGCCCTTGGTCCCCTCGGCACCTGTCCGCCGGGTGAATCGGCGGCGGCGGCGCAGGAAGCTGCCATGCTCGAACATGTCGTGACAGTCGGGGTCCAGTGTCCAGTAGCTGCCTTTGCCTGGCTTGCGGTCATCACGGGGAACCTTGACAAAGCACTCGTTGAGTGACAGGTTGTGACGGATGCTGTTCTGCCAGCCAGGTCGGTTGTGGCGGTAGAAGGCGAAGCGGCCCATGATGTAGCGGTAGATGCCACTGAGTGTGGCCCGCTGCCCAGGTGAGCTCTGGATGGCCATGGCAATAAGGGCTATGTAGCTGTAGGGGGGCTTGGTCGGCTCGGCTGCAGGGGCCTGGGGCCCAGGCAGGGGCTGCTGCTGCATGCTGGCCAGGCTGGCCAGGCTGCTGGGACCAGAGGGGCCAGGCTTGGCGTCCAGGGCTGGTGTCTGGAACAGCCAGCCCGGCCAGCCTGAGCTGCTTAAGAGGCCCACTGGCCCAGCCTCCCAGCCTGGAAAGGCAAAAAGGGGTGGGCCCGCCAGGCGGCCCTCCCTTCCTCCCTCACCCTACTCCCCCAAGGCCCAGGAGAGATGGGCAGGAGAGGCCAGGACTGGGAAGCTGAGTACCTGCCGGGGGTGAGGAGGTGGGAGGGAAGAGACCCTCATCTCTCATGTGCTGGGGGATGACAGCCGGGGAGGGACAGGATGTGAAAGTGAGTGGGTCAGAGACAAAAACCAGAAGAGATAGAAGGAGAAAGGTAAAGAAACAGGGATGGGGGAAAAGACAGAGACAGAGAGGCAGAGACCTAAAGAGAGAAACAAAAATAAGGCAGAGACAAGCAAAGTGGACAGAGACACATAGAGCCTGAGAGAGACACATACACACACCGACAGCTAATGTTCAGGGAAAGTCAGACCCACTGGGAGGTAGAAACAAAGGCATCCACAGAGAGACAGAGAGAACGGCGATAAAGAGAGACAGGGACAGGGTGGCACCTGTGACTCAAGGAGTAGGGTGCTGGCCCCATATACCTGGGGTGGCACATTCAAGTCTGGCCCTGCAAAAAAAAAATAAAAAGAGAGAGAGAGAGACAGACAGACACCAGGGGGAAGAGGCAGAGTCTGAGCCGAGTCCCCATAGAGTGAGAAAAGCCCCAGGTTCTCTAATCCCCCTGTCTCTTCTCCTCCCAGGCCTTGGGGCTACACTGCTCCCTGCCCTCCCAGCATTGGGGGGGTCTGCTGGGAGGGGCACCTGGAATGGTAATGGCTTGTAAAATCTAGTTCTACTGAGACCCTGCCGCCCCCTAGTGACTGGCATAGGGAGGACAGCCGTTTGGATAGAAACATTCCCCCCTCCCAAGAGGCTGCTTAAGTCCTTGGCTGAGCCTCAGTTTCCGCAACTCTAAAATGGAGCTGGTAATAGAACTATTATATTATTTCTTTAAAAAAAAAATAAAAAAAAAATGGAGCTGGCAACTCTTTGGCTGTTCAGGTCATGGTGAGAAGGCAGCAGGTTCCCTATCACAGAATCCAGGGCCCCCCCCCCCCGGAGAGCTCAGCACAGAGTAGAGCTTTGACTGTAGCTGTGGTTTGTCACCCTGAACCGAGGCTACCCTGGCTGCAGCCTTGGACTGGGAAGTACAGCAAAGCCCAGAACAGTCAGGCCTTCTGAAGGACAGGGCAGCATCCTCCCTACTTTCCCACTCCCAAGTCGTGGTCACCTACTCTATGCCCAGCCAGCTCACTACCTCCCATCCCCCCCATTTACTCCCCTAACCAACCCTGCTTTGGGGATCGTTCTAGTTTCTTTTGAATAGATGAGGACTTTGAGGCTCAGAGTAACTTGCCTGAGGTCCCGTAGCTAGCTAGTGACAAAGCTGAGGTTGGAACCCAGGGTTCTGTGATTCATTAACACCCCTTCTGTGAGGAGCACGGGTGGGACAGTCACTGGATCCTCACTGGAAAACAGAATGTGAACTCCAAGAGTGTAGAAACCATGTTGTTTTGCTCTATCTCCAGGGCCCAGCACTGGACACTGGAACAGAGCCCTGGAACAGTGGAGTTGTTTAACAATGTCTGTTAAATGACCAAAAAAGAATCCCAGCAATTGACTGACTTCTGTCCTTTGTTGAATTATACTGTTTCCCCACCCCATATAAACAGTTCATTAATGTATCACTAAAGGAGATTTATTATGTTGGCATCTGTATAAGGATTCTCATAAATAAAGTCAGAAAATGAAAAAAGGTCTGATATCTGGGGTGAAAAACAGGTACTTTACTCACAAGCAGGGAGAACCAGCTATATGCTTGTAGCCACCTCTCTCACAGCAATCTGCAAAGATTCGCCACCACTTATAGTGAATCCCACAAAGTTCAGTGGGGTTTGGAGAGGGGATAGAATGTCATCTCAGGCATCTGTCTCTGTTTCTCTAAAGACAGTGGTGCTTGTGGTTCAATGGTTAGCATCCAAAGTCCACGGTTAGTACCAAGTCCTCAGTTTTGGGGCCCTCCCTAGTCTTCCAAATAAAGAACCAGGATTAGTGGCAGGAAACAAAGGGCTTGGAAACTTAGAGCCCCTCCAAAGCCAGGCAATCTTGTTACTGGTTGGCCCCATTCTGAACAACCCTGAGGACTAATTGTGTGTACACTTAGCTCTAAGCAAATGTTATAGTGTACTCAATTACCAGTTAAGGCCAGATCTAAGTAAACCATTATTGGCATGTGGGCCTCTCAACAGGGAGGAAGTCTTGTTTCTGCCTACTCACCAGTCCAGGTGGCAGAGAGGTTGAGGCATGATCCAGTGGCTTCCCCTGTCCCATCAACCTGGGTGACAGGTGGAGGAAGCCTCAACTCCACTGACTCAATACGAGTAGGGCTGGGTTAGGGATAGAGGTTGGTACCCTGTGGGGCGCTGCCTTTAAGGGGTAAGAGAGGAGAAAGTGGCCCACTTAGGGCTGACTGGGCTTTGTCAGAAGGTGGGTGATGCCATGGGGAATGCCATGTGAAGAACCCAGCAGGCGGCAGGAGCCCAAGCCCTTGGAGTGCAGGAGGAGCTCTCTGGTGAAGACTGGCTCCACCTGCAGGGAACAAGTAGGGTAATGAGTAGATCTCATCCTTTTCCCAGTGACGTTCCAGATGGGAAGCCACAGCCCTAGTGACAGCCCCTTCCCCACTCCCATTTTTCAGGTAGGTTCATACAGACCAGAGAGTCATAGAACAGGCTAGGGGTAGAGATGACACTGGAGGGAGTCGGTGAGGGGCAGTCTGGAGGGGCTTGGAGCCTGTTGGTTCTCTGCAGGAGTGGGGAAATGACTCATGTGGGCCGTGACCAGCCGCTCTTCCGGCTGGTCCAGAGGGACCGAGTACTCTTCGCCAAAGCACAGATGGATCTGGTACTCTGGCTCCGAGTGGCCATCCTGCAGATGGGCGCATAGTTCTATGGGCACAGAGACTGTGAGGGGCTGGGCCAAGAGTGAGGCATCCCACCTGGTGCCCACCCTGTGCTCACATCCCACACCCAAGCCCTGGAAGTTACATCCGCACTGGGTGACTACACCCACTTTCATGCCCTGATGCCTGTCCCACATCTGTGCCCACTTTCAGTGCTCATGTCCTTTGCTGGTGCCCCTATTCCCACTCCCATGCCATTATGCCCACTGTCATTCCCTATGCTTACTTTATTCTCAGAGCACCTGATGCCCACTCTATGCCCAGAGCCCTATGCCAACACACATATCCAAGCCCTATGCTTGCGCCCCACACCCAACGCCCTACACCTGTCTCTGTTGCTTACACCCACTATGTGCCTATATCCGTATCTGTACCCAGCCCTCCTGGTGCCCATCATCTTTCCCATTCCCAGTGCTCCCATGCCATATCCTTGGTCTCCATGCCTACCACACTTAAAGCTCGTTCCCTTGCACCCGCATCTCAGGTGCCCACTCTCTTCTGTCCACACTCCTTTGCCCATGCCCCCCGTGCCCACGCTACTCTGGCTTACTCTACCAGCGGCCCTGCTGTCGTGCACTCATCCTCCAGGAATCAGCGCGTGTCAGGCAGCTGGCAGGTGCTCTGGCGCTCCAGCTTGTTGGGCTGCGCGCGGTGCGGGGCGAGCCGGCCACGCCAATACACCAGGCCCTCGCACAGGCGCTTGGCGAACACGCCCTCGGGCGCCACCCACAGCCGCAAGCCGCGCTCTAGGTGCCACAGCAGGCGCTGCAGCACGTGGGCGCCGGGCGGCGGCTCTGGGAAACAAACTTGGGCGACAGGTGGTGATGGCTCCAGCAGGCGTTCGGCGAAGGCGGCGGCCGCGGCTGCTCTCGGGCTCTGACTGCAGCCCTCGGCGGTGCGCGCGGTGGCTTCCTGCACCAGCGCCGAGCGGTAGAAGACTTGCACGTGCAGCCAGCAGCTTGCGGACCAGAGAGTGGGGTGCGCGGTGGTGCCGCCTGGTCCATTCTTCTCCACAACCGGGCGGGTCCATTTTTCTCCATAACCAGGCCTCGGGAATTTCGAGAACTCCTTCCCAGTCAGAGACAATACTAATTTTAGTAGTGGTAGTAGTCGTAGTAAACAATAGCTTCTAGTATAAACAAACTTAGTTGAGCGCCCTGGATTAAAGCATCGGAACATGAGGCCATCCCTGCAAGCCCTCTAGGAGTCTATGTGCCTTCTCCTAGCAAAGATTTGAATGCTGGTAGAAATAATAACAGCAACGTGGGTATCAACAACACAGCAGCAGCCCATGTGAGGAGCTAGCGCTTTGGTTAGGATCAAAAGCTCTGCAGCTAGGCCCCACGATTCTACTCTCTCACTACCACTTAGGAGCTGTGACTTGTTAGCGACTTTCCCAGGGACTAGCGGTGCCACCTTGGGCAATGTCCTTAGCCTTTGTTTCAGTTCCTGCTACATAAATTAGAGATAGTATCATCACAGGGCTTTGGGTGGGGCAGCAGTGGAAGCTTAGAAGGATGCCTGATTTAAACCAAGCCTGCAACAAATGTGAGCTATTGTGACAGTCCTGGGAGTCTGGGCTGGCTGCTTTAGGAGGGAGACAGAGGCTCGCCCCACCCTGGGCCCTGCCCGGTTCTGCACACTGCTCAGAGGGCAGAGCCTTTTGATTCCTTACCAGGGTTGCTGTAGTGCTCAGAGGGCATCACTCTCCAGGGGTGTTTGGGGTTCCCTGCATAGTACCCTGGGGAAGGAGAGGAAACAGCTGCCACCTCACCCTGGTCCCCTTTGTCCCCCAGAGTCAAGGAGGAGGCTTGGGAAGAGGTAGTGGTGAGGGGGAGACCCAATCCTTACTGTGATCAGCCAAAGGGCCTGGGAAGAGGGCAGCTGGTGGCAATGAGCCTCGCTGGGCCAGCCTGTGTGGCTGCTCCTTGTCCTCATCTTCTGTGATTAATCTGGAGCCATCCTGAGCATTGGGGGAGGAAGCCATGAGGGTTATGGGTCACAGCAGTTCTCAGACTGTTCTGGGGTTGACAAGAACTTTGAAGCTTCAGAGTTCAATATCTCCGAACTCCTGTGGAGGTAAAGAGAGAGTTGGTGGGGGGTGTTTGTGGGTAAAGTGTCAGAGTGGGTCTTTGTGATGGGGAGAGGGTGCTGAGGGTAAATGCAGAGGTGAGGGAGCTGGAGAGGATAGACATGGGCAGACAGAGCCATGGCCAGATCTTAGTGGGGATGGAGGCAGCAATGCACCATTGATAATGGGGAGAAGTGATGGGTGGAGATAGCAGGGGTAGAGTGGTAGAGACAGAGCTGATGGAGCTGATGGGAACAGAGCTGAACCTGATAGGGCGCATGCGGCAGAGTGATGCATCAAAGGGTGGTAGGGGAGGGCGTGAATGTGCAGACAGAGTGAGGGAACTGAAGCTGATGGAGGGGAAGGTAGAGCGAGAGCTGGAGTAGAGGTGAGAAGAGGCAGGGGAGCAGGAGGAGAGCAATGCTGGAGCTGAGGCCCGAGGGATGAGGTCAACAGCAGTACTAGAGGTCATAGCCAAAGAGGGTGGGGCCAATGGGTGGCTTGGGTAAGAAGTACCAGGCTACAGGGGCTGGAAGGACACACTGACCTGGTCTGCCCCACAGGTAGGCTCAGTCGCTTCTCCAGGGGGCTCCTGCTGGCTGGAGGGAATGCCCCACTCTTCAAAGGGAGCACAGGCCTCAGCAACTGCATGGAATAAGGGACACGGGTCTCAGAGGAACCCCTTCAACTGAGGTGACCCCAGGCAAAAGCATTCCAGCTCACTGCAGGGCCTCAGGCAAGGCCCACCTGTCTCTAGTCCTCAGTTTCTTTTTCTTCCTTCCTTTCTCTCTCTCTATTCCTTCCTTCCTTTCCTTCCTTCCCTCCCTCCCTTTCTTCCTTCCTTTCTCTCTCCTCTCTCTCTCTCTTTTTTTTTTTTGGTTTTTGACACAGAGTCTTGCTCTATTGCCCCAGCTAGAATGCAGTGGTGTCAGCCTAGCTCATAGCTCCTGGGCTCAAACTCGTGGGCTTAAGTCATCTTCCTTCCTCAGCGTCCCAAACAGCTGGGACTACAGGTAGCTGCCACATGCTCAGCTATTTTTTTCCTATTTTTAGTAGAGAGGATATCTCACTTTTGCTCACATTGGTGTCAAACTCCTGAGTGCAAGCGTTTCTCCCAACTTGGCCTCCCAAAATGCTAGGATTATAGGTATGAGTCACTCTACAACTGGCCAGTATTCTCATTTTTTGAATGGGGAGTAAAACTGGGTGGTCAAAGTGTCCTTCTAATCTTACCAGCCCATGAGTGAAAGCTTGAGCCCAGTATTTCCCATTTTACAGATGAGCAAAGTGAGATCCTTATTGCTCTGAGAGCCACCCTCAGCCATTGCCTTCAGGGGCAGGAGGGTACCTGGGCCAACAGCATTGCTAGGCACAATCCTGTAGACCTTGTAGGGGTTGGAGACGTCCAGCTGGCTGCACTCACACACCTTGCAGAAGTCAGCACTCTTGTTGAGGGCGCAGTGGAGCGCAGGTGGAGAGGTCCTCCCTGTTGGTGTCCTCCAGGTGCTTGCCCTTGTACACAGCCCAGGCCTGGAGAGGGGCAGGGCACTTGGGAGGAATAGCCTGGGGGAGGGTGTCTGTCGTGCCCCTCCCCCCTGCCATGTTCCTCCTCCCCCCTCCTTCTTTCTCTCTAACACATGTTCTTTGAACTCCTACTGTGTTCTGGGTCTGAGTTAAGGCTAGGGATTGAATGGGGAACAAGACAGACACTGTCCCTGCTCTCAAGTCTAATGGGAGAAGACAGTTGCAATCAATTAAACAGAAATAACTATATTCCAAATTATGGATTATGATAAATACGAAAAAAATAAATAAGTTGATAAGATATAAAATAATGGCAGTGGTATACTAACTGGGAAACTATAGACCCAAATCTGTACCATATACACAGTGGACTCCAGATGACTTCAAAAGCCAAAGGTAAGAAGTAAAACTAAAATAGTCAGTAATGTAAAAGAAAATCTTCTAGGGGCAAAGAACACTTCTTACACAAAACTTAAAAGGCATGAATCATGAGGCAAAAAATTACCACGTCTGAAATCAGCAAGGGGCTGAAATCTAGAACATACGGGGAACTTCTCTAAATCAACAAGAAGCAGAGTACATTCCCTAAAGAGAAAATTCTTATCAAAGGATAGGAATTGATGGTTTATGGAAGAGAAAACTGGAAGTCTGTGAGGAGGCGCTTAAACTCCTTGGTATCAAAGAAATGCAAATTAAAATGTGAGCCATCACACATAAGCCAACTTTAGCAAGTTGGATAATACCAGGAGTTGGGGGCGATGTGGTGGGGAGTTGCTGATGGGTATGGAATGGATGCAATGCCTCTGGATGGTAATCTGGCATGCTTAGTTGAATTAAGTATTATAAATGTACCCTGTGAACAAAAATCCCAATTCCAAATTCCACTGACATTCTCGGAGGGGCTCACAAGGAGACCTTGACCCCCAGGAGCATTATTTGTGATATTGGGAGTTGGAAGCAAACTTGTGTCCATCCCTGGGAAAGTGAATTGGGGTATGTTTGTAATGGATACCCACTATAGGGTCTATACAGCATCTAGAAACATCTAGGAGCAAGAGATTGGATCTGTAGAGAACAAGAACAGATCTTCAAAGCATGGTCATGAGCAGAAAATTAAAGAAAAACACCACAGAGCAAAATCTACAACACAAAATATCAACATGCAAACCAAAGATATTTGTTAAATACATTGGAATGGTTGTTGTGGTGGAGGGAATAAGTAAGTAAATAAGAAAATGAGGGGCTACTTTACAGAGGGAGATCAAAAAAGGCCTCTCTGAGGAGGTGACATTTGGGCTGAAGCCTGAGTGAAAAGAACAGAGTCTGACGAACAGCTGGCAGAAGGGTGATCTGGTTACGAGGAACAGCATGTGCAAAGGGCCTGTGGTAGGAAAGAGATTGATAAATTTAGGCAAGGCCAATGTGTAGTCAAAGGGGAGGACATCATGTTCAGGGCCAAGGGGGATTTAACTGAAAATAATCGCACTCAGGCATTGTCCTTAGAGACTCCAGGTCTAGTGGTGACACAGACAACAAAACAGAAAAGCCTTAGTTCTTGTGTTGGTGCCAGGGGTGAGACCTTTTGAGGCTTGATTTCATCATCTGTAAACATTATTAGTGGGTGTTAATAACTACTTACCCTCACATGGTTGTGATGGATGCAGGATGAGCTGAAGTAGAGTGCTCAGCACAGTGCCTGGCACACAGTCAGTGCTTATTCATTGCAGCCCTTATTCCTTATATTAAGGATACTCTAACTCAAAGATAACAAGGGCACAGGGCACTGGGTGCTATCATCATGGTAAGAGGAATCTTTGTTTTGTTTACTGCTGTGTGCCCAAACAACTAGGGTGGTACCTGGTGCACGGAGGATGTTCAGAATACATTTGTTGACTGCATTGAGCTGGGCCTTGAAGGGTGAGGTGGAAGTTGAGAGGTGGAGTGGCTTTCCTGGCAGAGGGAACAGCTTAAGCAAAGGCCAGGAGGTGTGGAAGGGCATGCCTGGTTGCTGCTGTTGCTGGGTGTGTGTGTCTCAGGGAGCGTGTTCAGTAGATTCTCATTATTCAGGGTAGTCATGTTCTGTAGTTGCCACAAACACTGAATTAGAGAATACAGAAGTGTCGCTCCTAGGGGAAATCCAGGGCTAGGTTCCTGCCAGTCTCTGGTCATACTATTTTCAGTGGCCAATCCATGCATAACCTTGCTTTAGGTGTGTTTCTGTTTGAGGATGCTTTATTTAATATAACTGCTGATTCGTTAACATTGAACTTGTAGCTATAGCACTATACCTCATGCCTGCGTGCAGCTTGTCTAGCATGTACTTTCACTATATGGCACCTCATAGCCTTCTCATACTCAGAAACTTTAGACAGAACTTTAGCATTATGCTTGGGGGTCACTTTGAATAGTGAAATCACCAAGAAAAGGCACAAAAATACTTTAAAATGTAGTGCTAAATAGACTATGAGAGCACTTGTTTATAGTATGACAGTCAAAACAAGAAGGCAGGGAATTGCCTTAGCTTTGAATTTTCCTGAAAGTCGACTTATATTTCTTGCCATTCTGTGTATAGCTATGAATGGCCACAAAAGCGATGTTAAGTATTGATTTGGGGATACATTTTAGCAAGTAGGAGAATTTGCAGATACAGAATCCATGAATGAGGGCCGACTGTATATGGTGGGGGAAGGGGAAAGAGGAATTAAGGAAGAAGAGATAGGTTGAAGCCAGATCATGAATGTCCTTGAAAGTCAAGCTTTGTCCCATGAGCTTTGAGGGACCAGAGGGTTTGAAGCTAAGGAGTTGTACACATCATGTGTGAGCCAGCGGTGGGTGGAGGGATGGGTGGGAGCAGCCAGAAGGGTGAGGAGAGTCAGCACCCCTGGGTCTCTAACAGCATGAAAGTCTTAAGAGACGGGCCAGACAACCACCCATTCAACACTTATCGAGCACCTACTGTGAGCCAAGCATTGTGGTTTTAAAATTCATAGAGAAAGTTGTTCCAATGAGCCTTTGCCATTGGAGTCAGGGATGACTTGGGAGAGGTACTGCATTGGAGCTTAATGAATGCACTAAATAAATGAGTGCACCAGGAAAGGCTTTCTCAAGGAAGAGAAGTTTAAGCTGAGGACAGGGCGGTTGGCCAAGTAAAGGTGAAGAGGAGAGGTGTTGCAGGCAGAGGGGACAGCATGTGCAAAGGTCTAATGGTGACAGGACATGAAACATTGTGAAACAGAAAGAAATAAAGTGGAGGAAGGGAGGTGAGAGAGAAGAGGCTGGGAAGGGCACGGCTTCCAGGCCGCCTGGGTGACGAGTTAGTACTTTTTCAGGAGGGCAGCAGGGAGCTGCGAAAGGATTCTGAGTAGGGGATGATGGAGACCAGATTTGCATTTAGAAAGATGCCCCCCTAGGACTGTTTGGATTGCTCAGGGATGGGGTGTGGGGGGGTGGGAACCCAGTGAGGTCACTGCAGCTGTCCTGGAAGAGATGGTAGGAGTGGGTTCAAGTGGACAGAGTGGAGAGATGTTCTGTAGGAAGAGCCATCAAGCCTTGGCTGTGAAGCAGATGGAGGTTGGAAGAGGGGGAGCAGACAGGGCCCAAGCACTGGCTCTGGTTCAGGTACACAGGTAGCAGAAGTTCAGGTGAGTGAGCTGCTAAGTGTGGTATTTGGGATGTGCTGAGTTTGAGCAGCTGGGGGGCCATCCAAGAGACAGCACCTGTGAGGCAGCTAGAGCAGTAGGCTTGGGGCTTGGAGAGAAGGCCCAGAGCCTCCATGCTGGGGCCATGGAGGCAGGACGGTGGGCCATGAGGAGGGAGGTCCACCAGTGAGTGCTGGGAGCCCCAACAGAGGAGGGTGAGAAGGAGGGGTCTGGGAGGATGGAAGTAGGCAGCAGAGATTCTGGGAATCAAGTGAGAGTGTTTCGAGAAGGAGGGAGGGTCCACCAGGTGCAGACCCACTCTAGGTCAAAGAGGATGAAGGCAATGATACGTCCTTGGATTTGGCAACTAAGGATGCTAGCAGGAAGGACAGAAGCCAGCCTGGGCGTGGGGGAGAGGGTAGGAGAGAGGGGGTTAATACAGGGGAGAGTTTCCAAGTGCTGTCAAACTGTGAAAGGAGAAGAGAAATCAGGAAGGAGAGCATGGAGGTCACAGGTGGTGGTGGTAGCCTAATGTGTGGTTTGCTGCTTATTGCTGGGGAGAGTGATTCCAGAATTTAAATGTTCATGGGAAGGAGCCAGTGTGGAAAAAGGTCATGATAACTGGGGGAGGGGAGGTCATTCCTGCAGGAGGCCCCTGAGAATGGCTGATGCTGAGAGCACAGATTAACATTCCCTAGCTGCAGGGGTTGGTGGTTTTGGGGTGGGAAGTTGTGGAAGGCCCTTTTGTGGTACCTCATTTCCCAGTGGGTGGGAAGAGATGTCCTCTGAGAGGTGGAGATGGGGCAGGTCATGACAGCATGGGGGATGCTATTTGGAGGATCTCTCATGCAACCCTCAACCCTGGAGGCCAGCAAGTGCCCCATGGTCACATGGCTATTTGTGGGTCCAGGTGCTGGGGTAGTGAGCCTCCCTGGGGCTCCTTACTGTCCTCTTACCCTGAAGAGCACTGTGTCCTTCTGGACCTGGTAGCACTGCTTGGCTATGTGCTTCCAGGGGCTGTGGAAGAGGGTCTTGCCTGTGTCCTCCCAGTGCAACCCTGGGTAGCACCCACTCTCAATCTGTGCCACCAGCCAGTCTCGTAGGCACAGGGAACCTCTGGCTCCTGCTGTGGGTCCTCTGCTGTTGTCAGGGACATTTCTCTCCTCTTTTGCCAGGAGCTGCTGGCCATCAAGATGCAGTGCCTGGGGGGCCAAGCGCAGCTGGACCTGTGTGGTCTGGGATCACCAGGTGGTGCCAGGGATGAGGTGCCTCCAGGGATGAGGAGGTGAAGAAAGTGAAAGTCGAGACAGTGGGGTTTCACTTTCTGTTCTGTTCCCTCTCCCAGGAGGGACTTTCCTTTCCCTCCTCCCCATGTCAGACTGGCCTGGAGGGCACTGGACCTTTCCTGGAGTCAGGGGGCCTGAGACCCTTTGTGGGACCTCTGACCCCAAAGGGTATACCAAGTCAGGAGGAGGATGGATGGACACTCAAAGATGCGACCTTCCTTACACCTGCACCTGATAGCTGCTCTTCCCAGCCCACCCAGAACACAAACTTGTCCGTCTCTTCTTAGCACCTGCACGGGAAGTTTGAAAGGCATAGCCAGTGGTTCTCAACTTTCCTAACGCCATGATGTATTTTCATTGTTACAAAGGGCTCGAGACTCACAGGTTAAGAACCGCTGGGACTCTCTCAAACTAACTCCTGCCAGACTTGGAGGGCAGTGACTAGTTTCAAATGCACACTCATGGCCTCTATCCCAGAGCTGCAGAATCTGACTTTCTGGGCAGAAAGCCAATAACCTCCATATTTTAATGAGGTCCCCCATGGGGTTCTGATGCAGGTGGCCCATGGCCCACACTTAATTCCTTAAATATCTAGAGCACTGACTACTCATCACAGTCCTGGGCCTGGCCACTTTCCTACAGTGTCTCATTTGGTTCTCACAGCAGCCTAATGGGTGGGTATAGTGACCTATTTTAAGAAGACTGAGGCTCAGAGAGGTTAAAGATCTATAACAAGGTAACAGAGCTAGTGGGGGTGGTGGTGCAGCACTCAGGATCCAAAGCATCCAGTATCTCTGGTCCTTACAGCCCAGCAGCCTAAATAGTGTCCCACACTGCCTCCTGACAGTGACACCTGAAGTTTAGGGATTCTTGGTGGGGTCTGCTGACCCTCAGAAAGTGTATGTAAATTGCCTATGTCTATGCATTTTTCTTTCATTAAATTGTCAAAGGGGATTTGTGATATGAAGGAGGTTAAGTTGCTCAGACTGCTCCTTGCCTTGTGTACATGGGGAAATGGAGGCTGTGAGAAACCACCCCCACTGTGGTGGGCTGAGGCTGGAAGCACTCTCCCTCATGTGTATCTCTTGGGCTTCTCCCTTACCCCCATATTCCAGCAGCCTTCTCATTCTGACACTTCTACAGCTACAGCTGGGGGTTCAAAGTCAGGCCTTATAGGCCCTAATGGGGGTCCAAGACATCTCATATGATTAAATACAAGAGTAATCATTACACCTGAGCAAGAGCCTTAAGTGTATCAGATGACCCTTCATTTTTCTAGGTCGCAGAGGGTACTAATTTAGAGGATAGGGTTAGTGACCAGACTGCCAGAAGTTCCATCCCAGTCCTACCATTTGCTAGTTGGTGACTTTGGGCACTGGCCTCAGATTCCTCACCTGTTAATTAGTGACTACTTAATTGAGTTATTTGAGGATTAAAGGTGATGCAGTAGAAGGTTCAGTACAGTGCATGGGCTCAATAGGTGAGTGGTACACGGTAGTTGTTGAGCCAGAGTGTAGTCAGGTAATGCTGGAGGCGGAAAAGGAGTACCTTCGAGAAGGACCTGGAACATCAGATCAAGGGGCTTTGTTTTGCCCTGTCAATGATGGGGGCTGTGAAGCCTTTTAAATAGAACAACACTGTCAGAAGCAGAAAGGGGTTTTAAACCAGGTGCATGGAGGTGCCACCAACCAGGCTGGAAGGAGTGAATCCAGCCCTCTCACTCTTCATGCTTGATCCTAACACAGGGCCTGTTCATTTCATGTTCTCTCTGTCTGGAATGCTTCTCCCACGGAGCAAAATAGTCCACTCCCTCACCACCTGACATTTTTTCTTTTGTTTACCTGGTGTCTTTCTCATCAGAGTGTCAGCACCTTGAAGGCCATGGTTTTGCTCATGTATTCCCAGTACCCAGCACAATGGCTGGCACATAGTAGGTACTCACTGGCTATTTGTTGAATGAATGAGTAGGAGGCTGGGACAGTACATGAAGGTTATTTTGTCCATCTCCTCCACCTCAGTCTTGAAATCTGTGCCTCCCTCAAAGCCCTGAGCATGTTACTTGGTGCATAATAAAAACCCCATGTAAGTGGCTATTGGGTTATAGCTATTTTAGACCCCTCTCAACTTGGGTTAATTTTAGTTCAGGAAAAGTCAGCTGCAATGGCCTCTGTTCACTCTCAGAGTCAGGTACTGCTTTGTTAGTCTGCCCTTGACTTTAAACTTTTGGTGAGAAGGGTCATTCACATTAGTTGGGGATAGATATTCCTTACCAATAACCTCCCAAACCCAGAAGTCGCTGCTTCCATTATGGGACTCAAACTGACTAAGTCCATGTACATCTTCCTCTGCTCTGGCTGTGTGTCCTTGGGTAAGCTGCCTGACCTCTCTGAGCTTCACTTTCCTTCTGAGTACATTAACCCATGCGGTAAAAGGTCAGGTATGAGAGAACACTACCTTATCTTAGTATTGGTGGGTAGGAAAGGGGAGGGAGTTGGGGGAAGAGGAGGGCTCTTAGGGGAGGAGTTCAGAAGGTGGAAGGGGCTTTAGAGAGGAGGGCTCAAGGGCCTTGTCAGGAGACCTTGGCTTTGGGAGAGATGTGGGGTGGGCAGGTATTAGAGAAGCGGGAGATCCCAGAATTCAACTCCACAGACCGCAGTTAATAGACTTAGAGGGTGGTAGGGGATGCAGACTCCCTGCCATTCCCGTTTCCCGCAGGCTCCAGGTCCGGGGCAGAGTCCTGCCCTTGGGTCTTTGCAGAATGACTAGGAAGCACTACGACAGGCAGCTTTTGTGTCTCTTTAATACCCCCCCAGGCCCGTCCAACCCCCATGCCCACCCCTTTCCCTTTCCCCTCCCGCCGCCTTTAGAGTCGGCCCCCTCTCCCAGCCCAAGGACTAAGGCACCAGTTGGCTGCAGCAGGCCGGCCCGGACGCCGAGACTCATGGATGGAGGACACACTGACTGCAGACGCAGGCGAGCAAGGCGGGCAAGGAAGGCAAGGACCACGCCGTCGTCGGGCTCCCACAGCCTCTGGGCCAGTGTTGGAGGCATGGGTGGCCCAGACAGCCCTCTCAGGAATACAGTTGGGAGGGACAGGTGAGCCACGGCGGGGCGGGATCCTCACTTGCCGCCCTTGCGGGACAGACACCGCGGGAGGCAAGAGAAAGTCTGCTTGACGCGCGCCAGCAGCGGCAGTGGCCGGTGGGCTTCTCGGGGCGTGCGCGGTACCAGGCGTTGTAGGGTTCCCTCGGAGGCCGCTGACTGCAGCGCGGAGGAGGCGGCAGAGGCCGTGGAGCCCTGCCGACAGCGCTTGCACAGCGGCAGCAGCGCGCGAACCTCCTCCTCGTCGCGGAAAGGGCACTCTCCGAAGCGTTCCTCCAGCTGCCGGCGAAGCTGCAGAGTGTGCGGGAGGCGGGGCCAAAGTTTGGCAGGGGGCGGGACCAAAGCTTGCCCGGGGCGGAGCCAAGGCTTCTGGCCAAGGCCCTTCTAATGTCACTACTCCCATCCTTCTCCAAGCTCCCAGCACCTCGCTAAACCCCTCCCCTTCCTGGACTCCCCCTTTGCCTTTCATCTCGGGGTTTCCATCCCTCACTGAGTCCCTCTTCTCCTTTATAAGGCCCTTCACTCCCACTGAACACTCCCTTTCTCTTAAGATACTCCATCTTCCAAACCTGCTGAAGTGACAGCATCAACTGCCCCCACATCCCACGCACAACGCCCCTCGCAAGGAGCCTCTTCCTTGTCTGACTCTTTCCTAATGTACCTGCAGGGTACCTCCCTGCTGGCTACTGAGAGCCCACCCCGTCTTTTGTCCCCAGGGAGGCCTCCATTCCTGACACTTCTATGTGCCATCTGCCCAAGAATTGCTTTGGCCTCATCAGGGACCCAGGCAAGAAGTCGGACATGGACAGGTCTCCCCCCAGGGTCAAACACTGAAAAGCCTTTGAGTGCCAGCAGGTAGAGCAGCCAGTGGGGAGTGCTGAGAGGCTCACAGTCTGGTCTAAAAGCATTCAAATTCTGTATTTAAAAAAAAGGCCTGGGTGTCAAACAAAATACATGTACACTTAGGAGCTTGATGAGCTCAAGAGCCACAAGTCTGAAACCCCAGAAAAGTCTTCTGCTGGTTTTGAAGCAGAAGCTAAAATCTTCCCAACTGGTGTTCAATTCAAGTGAGATCTCCCATCCTTGGCCCAACCCAGCCTCCTGCCCCAGGCCCTACCTTCTGGGAACTCCCCCAGCCAAACTCTTCAAGTTGCTGCTTAAAGCCTGGGTTGGGGTTGGCTATGGGCCGCGTGGCTTTGATGGCTTCAAGCACTTCCCGCCAGCCTAGCCCTGTCACGGTCATCACATATGCTGTCACGATAGTGGTGCTTCGGGAGATGCCTGCAAAACTGTGACCCCCCCCAATAAACCCCCAAGTTTTAGTTAAGATCCAGTCTCCTCTGTGCTCCCCCGAGACCCCATCCCCACTTCAGCTTCTCCCCACCCCCACCTCCTGGGCTCCAAACACAAGGAACGTGCTAGAACCTTTCTTCCCACCTCCAGGTCTTTGCCCATGCTGTTCCTTCTGCCAGGAGTATCCTCTGGCATTCTCCCATGTCAAGGGCCTGAGTGCAACATCACTCATTCACTCACTCAACAAACACTGCCTGCTCATCTGTTCTTTTTCAGAGTCTGAGGATATTGTGGGAAGAAAACAGACATGGTCTCTGCCAGCCTGGAGCTTACAGAATGGTTGGGGAAGACCATTTTTTCAGGTGGTGCTAATTGCTTTGAAGATAAGTCTGGGAGCTAGGAGATCTGCATAGGAGGAGGTATTAATCTAGGCAGGGGAGGGGGGAGATTAGGGAAAGGGTTCCCAAGGAAGTGACATCCAGCTGAGTTTGAAAGTTAGTTAGTTAGTTAGGAATGTTTTGGGCAGCATGTAAAAAGACTGTGAAATGGAATTCTGGTGGATTTAGAGAATGAGGAGGTTAGTGCAGCTGGAATAGGGAGGAGGGAGAAAGAGTCGGGGATAAGGCTTGGGAGAGCTGATCACAAGGTAGGGGGTCAGGCAGGGCCAGGCTGAGCCTGGCATAGGATGGGTGCTCAGTGGGAAGTTAGGAAATAAACAGCATCAGCTGGGCCAGGGGTCTCCTCAATGTTCCCCACTTCCCTGTACTACAACCTCAAAGGCCTGGAGGGGAGAAGGAGGGAAGTAGCATAACTACTGGAGGGTAGTGGGCTACTTGCATGACCTCACCTATCCCTTTCAATAGCCCTGCCAGGTCGACTTTCTTTTCCCCATTTTATAGATGAGAAAACTGAGCCTCAGGGAGAAACAGCTACTTGGCTATGGCCACACAGCTAGTAAGGCACACAGCTTTGATTGGTGAACTTTCAGGCTCTGTGACAGGCTTTCTACCCTCCCCATCTGATGAGGGTGTGTTCAGGACAGAGGACAGACACTTCCCCCCACCTGCCCTTAACTCACCAGTGCACAAGGCAGTTCCCTCCATTGAGGCGGCAACAGTGGATGAAGTTGATACATTCTTTGAAGTGCTTTTTGCTAGAGAAGAAAGCAATGGGGTAGGGAACATTGAGGAGCAGGTCTCTTAGGAGTCACCCCCTTCCCATTTACAGGGTAGCAAGGGACAAAGAGCCTTGGGTTCCTCATGTCAGCCAGTGTGTGCCCTGACTAGTAAAGAGGTGGAGGTGTGTGAGAAGCAATAATGGTGGCATTTCAGGCAGCAAGGAGGCCAGTGAAGGCCAATCCCACCATCCAGGCAGGAGCACCTCTCCAGTGGGTCTGGTGGAGCCGGTTTTCACAGTGGGTTTATCTTGGCCTTTCACAGAAATGGGTGGGAGGAGACACAAGGGTCCCAGTCCTCGAGGTTCTGCAATCAGAGCCCCTGGGAAGAATGACGGTAAGCAAAGGCTGGAAGCAAGGTTCCCCAGGGTGGGAGTTGACTGTCTGGGTCTGTTCTAAGCTGGGAGGCACTGCTGCTAATAATACAAACAAAAACCCCATTTTCTGAGCTCCCATTACACTCCAGGCCCTATCCTATGTCATCTGTCAACCCATGTCATTTGATCTTTGAAAGCCTCCCTGACTCTGATCACATAGCCTTGTTTCACAGGTGAGGCTCAGAAAGGGGAAGTGATTTGTTCAAGGTCACACAGCAAATAAATGGCAAGGCCTGGCTGGGACCCAGATGTCTTAACTCCAAGGTCAGGAACTCCAAGGCTGAGCCTGCCCCTTTCAAATCTGCTTGTGCTCCCAATCCCAAGAGACAGAGTACTTTCTCCATTTTATAGCTGGGGAGAGAGAGGTTGAGGGAGGTTAGGAGTCTTGGCCAGGCATACTGAATGTCATGGTTGGGTCTGGGTGACCACCTGTGACAACTTTCTGGTCTGAGCACTCTCTGTCTTCCCTCAGACCACCTCCCCTTTCCACCTACCAGAGGAGGCAGCAGTCTGTCCACCCAGGGGAAACTTACATGGGTACTTCAGGGGTATCAGCCACAGGGATGCGAAGGTAGGTGATGTCCTGCAAGTACAGATGTGCTCAGGACCTTGTCGCAACCCCTCCTCCCCCTGGCCTGAGCTGCCCACGTGCTACATGACTCCAGCCCAGTTTCTGCCCCTCTCTCAGTCACTAGTGTCCTTTCCACCCACTGAAAGTAGGCTCTATCTCTGAGGACCTCCCAGCTCTGACCATCTGTGATTCCTGAGCCTTCTGAGCAGATGGCATCTCCTAACCCCATAGGTGACTTGGGTACCAGCACTTGATAAAAAGGACCCAGGGACCTTTTATCTAAGAGCTGGGAAAGGGCTACTTAAACTGGCTCCCCTCCAAATGGGGATTACAAAATTATACAGTAAAAATTTCATTATCTTAAAAGAAAATAATTAAAACAAGTTTACATTTTGTGACTTATGGTTATTAAACTATGTGCTAATTGTTGGAATAATCAAGGAATAAATTATCAGTAGTTTTGTCGACAAACTTGCTGTAATATCTTTTTGCTTCCTGATTACCCTCCACAAAATATGGTAAAGATTATTTCTGCCCATCTTCAAGAGGGCTCCTTGCTTTTCTCAAGGACTTTAACCAAATGGTTCTTTTCAGTTGTGTGGCCCATCATTAGCCAGTGGCTAAGAGACCACCAGTCAGGTCCTCCTTTGTCCATGGTGTTGTGTGAGGTTCCAAGCCTTCTCCAATTCACATTCCCCAAGGTCACAAAATTCTGCATGTTTTGCAAGGCTTGCAATTTCACTTTGCAACACATTTGGCCTTGACTTTACATGGTATTATCAAACTATGACTGGTAAATTCACTGATGGAAGGGGAGGGAGAGATGCACCAGAGAAGAGGGAAAGGCTGCTGGAGCAGGGACTTATTACGTAGACTGTCGTTTCATTAGTAAATACATTCACAACTTGGCAACCTTCCCCATACAATCCAGTGACTGCTTACTCCAAATACTTCAAAACAAGGCTGCCCCATAAAGCAAAATCGGAGTGCAGAGGCCTGGAAATTTCTTTTCTAAATGACCCTGAAAATCATGGATTATTGGAGATTGCTCTTAGAAACCATCAAACATGACACACGGGAAAACTGAGGCTCAGAGATGGGAAGAACCCTACCTAAGGTCACACAGCAAGTCTGTGGCAGAACCTGGTCTCAGTCTCAGATCTCCAGAGCCTTTTCCCACTCAAAGTTCTTTCTCTTCAGTGGGTGACACAGACTCTAACTGTAAGAGAAATGGGCTCTGTTTCTGGGATTTGAATATTATTAACTTTGCTATTATATCAGTGGTCATATGTTGAACACACCTTATGTGGCTCTCAACAATTCAGAGAGGTAGTTACTATTATAAAATTCCTATTTTACAGACTGGGAAACTGAGGCTCAGAGAGGTGAAGTGTGCCCAAGGTCACAAAGGGAATAAATGGTGAAGGTATGAACTCAGTTTCCTGACTCCAGCACGTGTGGTCTGATTTCCTACTTTCTTCCTCTGGGTCCTAATACCCTCACACCTCTTTCCCAGGACTTGATAATCCTTCTG